ATCAACGTCCAGCGATAAAGATGGTAAAGTATGTCAGCAATCTTAAGGATCATCTTGACACGAGGAAATGGTTTCTTGATACACCATGAGAGGTTATTCACCCTCTTTGTCAAATTTAACTACATCGCTGCTTTATTTACACTGTCGCATACGTAAAAGTGCATCATTTCTGTCAAAGAAATTATACTGGTTCTTCATGTAAAAGAATCAATGTTTTGCATTTATTTGTTTACATACTTCCGATTTATTCAATTTTGCGAGATGAACAAAAAAGTCAAGAGTGAATTTCATTTAGTAATTAACCCAAAAATTGTTGGCAATAACCTAGATCTAATTATGTCTAAATAATTATATGACTTCTCTATCAGAAAGAATATCTCAAGAAATCTACAATAAGCTAAAAATGAACCTTCGTTTGAAAGACTGAGATAAGATGTACTAAGCAATTGTCGGATATAATAGCCAACTCATACATCAAGTACACCCAAAAACCTAACGACCGGTTCAGCTTTTCGTAACGAAAAGGATCCCCGAAAATTAAAAATATGCCAGCTTTACCAGTTTACCTAGAAACGAGCGGACTAGAAAAACTTTTCACCAATTACATGTAACAACTGATTCCTGAATAAGGAAATATGTAGACAGACTTATTGAAGTGACATATAGCTCTCCAAAGTTGCAATAAAACATCGTGATCTTGTGTTCGAGAGAAGGCCAATGTCCATGGACAACCAGAGTTCCAGATAAACAAAATTTGGGGTGAATAACCAAAGTAAATGTTGATAGTACAGTGTAGTGTACGAGTACTGGTACATTAGTACTTTAGTACTGGTACTTTAGTACTGGTACATTCTACATACTAATTAAAGAGTACAAAATAAGAAGGTCCATGAATTTTCCCATTTTTGTTATACATTTCATAATTATAGAAGAATTAGTCTCTACGCTCTTTATTTTCTATGTACAGGGCGAGCCCCAAAAATGCAAACATCAATTTTTTCAATATTTTTCTTAAATGGAGGTTAATTGCTCTGAAATTTGGCACACAAAGACTTCATTCAATGTGGGATCCTCTGGCAAAGTTTTAATAATCATAGTTTTATATTGATAGAGTTATGGTTGTTTCAAGATATGCTCCAGATGTCGTCAATTTCGCTGAAAACAAACTTGCAATGTTCAAGTCAGATGATGTTCACAGGCGGTCATAAAGATGGACAGGTGGATGGACAGACGGATAGATTGGAAATCCCATAGGCTTACCATGTAAGCTAAGAACAATGACGTCAATCGGATAAGGGCGACACCTATAATAATAATGCAGAACCATAACAAGAAATTGTTTTGAGACAGAAATTTGTTTTGAAAGTTTCCGATACTTTACTCGTAGTACAGCCAACCTACATATCACAAAAAGGTCATTTAATAAATCCACATACAAAGAAATGAAAAAATCACAATACTAAGGATCACTCCAAATCAAAATGACTCACATGACCTTCACAAGATGCCCCAAAAGATAAGGATATATTTTTAGAAATAAAACTCACTTATTAAATCACTAGTTTCAAGATTTCTCACACTTGACAATGGACAATAAGATCAAAAATAGAACAAGAATGCTTGTAAAGTGTACGGAACATTACTTGAAAGATAAGAAAGAGGGTAACAAAAGTACAGAGTAATAAAATGACCAAAGAGGATTGATTACAATAGCTATTTCATTGACATTGATGACATTTTATATAAGTTGCACTTTAAAGACTAAAATTTAGGACACAAAATCTGTGTTAAAGGGCCCTCAATATAAAATGAGTTAATACTTGTAAATAAGTACAAAAGTCATTTAAAATAACAAGGCATAGAGTGAAAAATATTACATCCTTGAATCGAATATCAAATATATGAAACACATGAAAGAATGTCCAATGACCTCTCCTTGCCATTCATGATCCATTATCACAATCCAGACCCACTGGGCCATGGGACATTTCAACCTTCAGTCATTATAATAAATTTGGACAAAATCAAAAGAAAAGAATACCTATATTTTGATACTAGCTAGCACTCAATAATATATCATTCAATCTCAAGTGATGTGTTACCCCAAAAATCCAGGTCTCAAGATCAGTGAGAATGTCAAAGTGTTGACCTCCGTTCATAAAGCCTATCAAAGTCAACTAGACAACAGCAACGCCAAAGTGGAGTAAATCCCATCGAACAGCCATGGCTGGCATTTATACAAAATCCTACTACTGATGTAACTTTTTACCATTTGTGAGTTGAACCATGATACATGGCAAATCAATGTAACTTTGGATAAGCTTTAAACTGACAAATGACACTTACTACGGAGACATCTGCCTGGGGGAGGCATACTTTCGGGACACCCTGTGTGTACAAAATATGAACAAAATCAGGCCAATCCAATTGTATTTGAGTTATCGCCCGGACGGACACAGGTGTTCCCTATATTCCTTCTAAATTTGTTCGATGGGATAATCAATCAGAAAATTCAGAATTCATTAGAAGATATATCATTCAATCTTAAGTGATGTGTTATATGACAAAAAAATTCAGTCTCAAGATCAGTATGGGTATTAAAGGATCAACCTCAGTTCTCAAAGCTGAGGTCAATGTCAATAAACTAGAATAATCAGAATAACTGGGTATTTCAAATGATATTGTTTTCAAGCAATAACCACATGCTTACATGGTACATGACAGTAAACATATATTTATTACATACAAACTCAACCTCTGCTAAAGGCAACATTTGTGCATATTTACAGCAATGCTGTACTAAAAGTTACCATTTCTCTATATACATAATGTACATATGTAGAATATATGTACTGCTACATACTGAAGTATTTACATGTACAGCTTAATTATATACATTTTTACAATACATTGGTCCTCAAGATGAAAAATGTTTATAAACATCCATGATTTTTATCATATCCATCATATTCTCATCGCAATTGAGCATGCATTGTACTTTAAACATCATAATTGCAATGGTGAACACATTGTACTTTTAACATCCTCATTGCATGCATTGTACTTTTAACATCATAATTGCAATGGTGAATGCATTGTACTTTTAAAATCATAATTGCAATGGTGAATGCATTGTACTTTTAACATCCTCATTGCAATGGTGAATGCATTGTACTTTTAACATCATAATTGCAATGGTGAATGCATTGTACTTTTAACATCATAATTGCAATGGTGAATGCATTGTACTTTTAATATCCTCATTGCAATGGAAAATGCATTGTACTTTTAACATCATACTTGCAATGGTGAATGCATTGTATTTTTAACATCCTCATTGCAATGGTGAATGCATTGTACTTTTAAAATCCTAACTGCAAAGGTGAATGCATTGTATTTTTAACATCCTCATTGCAATGGTGAATGCATTGTACTTTTAATATCCTAACTGCAAAGGTGAATGCATTGTACTTTTAACATCCTCATTGCAATGGTGAATGCATTGTACTTTTAATATCCTAACTGCAAAGGTGAATGCATTGTACTTTTATCATCCTCATTGCAATGGAGAATGCATTGTACTTTTAACATCCTCAGAGAAACAGAGAATGCATTATAATTTCATCCACATTTAAATAGAGATTGAATTGTACTTTTATCATTCTTGTTGCAATGAAGAGTGCATTGTACTTTTAAACATATTCGTTGCAATGGAGAGTACATTGTAGTTTTGACATGACTAAATGAATTGCTAAGAATATCTGAGACAGCTAAATCATTTAAGGTATGTGATTGAAGCATACTCCATCTATTTTCTTTGAAATAAATTGTAGACATAGAATTTAATTAAGCTAAGTAAAGTTATTTGATACTGTATTAAGTACTTTTTCATTTAACAAATATATTCAGCCAAATAAGATGGCTTTGTATTAACACATCTAAAATGTTTGATTAAAAATAGTACTAAAAATATATTTTTCATAGTAAATAATGATTCAATATTTTCCATGTATTACAATTATTTTAAGCAAACAGATTAGCAGATATGTGAGTGTTATTCTTAAAATAAATTTCTCAATCAGAGGTAATGAAGTCAAAATGAGGCTTAAAATCAACCTCAGTATCAACCTTTACAATTACCATAAACCTCTACAATCTTTTTATTCCAAACTGTACAATGCTATACATTTTAAGTTGTTTCTAGTCATATGAAGGCAATTATCTTATATTTACAGTCTGTTTACCCACAACTGACATAACCTACATTTATATTTACAATTACAAAAATATGTACAAAACAGTGTCTGCTACTTCAACGTATCAATATTCTAACACAAATTGATCAATATGAAATTTAATGTGAAGGGGAAGTGGCAATTAACAAGTATTATGAAATTATAACAATGCTCCAGACCTTGTTCTGCTATGCGGTTACATGGTTAAAATAATCCCATAATAAACAACTTCTACCGAAACAGGTAATCTATCAAAAAGATGGGCCAACTTACATTGACTCAAGTAGTATAGTCATGCTGAATTACATATTAAACTCCTCATGAGTGAGCCATGCTGAATAACATATTGAACTCCTCATGAGTGAGCCATGCTGAATAACATATTGAACTCCTCATGAGTGAGCCATGCTGAATAACATATTGAACTCCTCATGAGTGAGCCATGCTGAATTACATATTGAACTCCTCATGAGTGAGCTATGCTGAATTACATATTGAACTCCTCATGAGTGAGCCATGCTGAATTACATATTGAACTCCTCATGAGTGAGCCATGCTGAATTACATATTGAACTCCTCATGAGTGAGCTATGCTGAATTACATATTGAACTCCTCATGAGTGAGCCATGCTGAATTACATATTGAACTCCTCATGAGTGAGCCATGCTGAATTACATATTGAACTCCTCATGAGTGAGCTATGCTGAATTACATATTAAACCCTTCATGAGTGAGCCATGCTGAATTACATATTGAACTCCTTATGAGTGAGCCACGCTGAATTACATTAACACTTCATGAGTGACAGATACCATAACTGAATGAAACCTAGCATGTTTAACCCATTCAACATATACAGAAGAGCAGACATTATAAATTATATGAAATTACATGAAAACTGATCATCTTCATTAAATTTGGTGTATGGCCAGAGTCATATTTGTGCGTCATCTTGTGACATTTGAAAGAGCACTTGAGATTTTATTTGATATTTGGTGGTGGACGAGCAGCATAGCTATGCTCTATTGTCTGATGTAGCATCAGTCCCAACACTCCAGCACGATTTGTCAATGACACTTTTATCACACGTTCCTGCTCCAGTAATTCATCAAGCTTCATCCACTGGAAGTAAAATGGGATAAAAAGAAAATCAGGGAATGTTTGGTCTAGCAACTCCTCTTAAGTGAAAATAATTTGAAGTGGTCTATTGAAATTTAGACATGTCATGATTCTTGCTTCAAAGTAAGCATTGTTGATACAAACTTTTAAAGCATCTGACTCCCATGGGAAGTCTGAGTTGAAGCGTATCAGTGTTAGTTGTAGATACTGAATAAATGCATGCATACCTGTTCAACTCTCTGCATATCAATTTCCGCACGTCTTAACTTCTCCCAGGAGTAATGTTTGTTGCATTTTCTCTTTGGTGTGCGACAGAGTTCTCCTGTATGTGAGAATACATCCACAACTAAGGGACATCCACAAACCTCTTCAGGGTCAACCTGCAACACATAACACTTTTGCAATTTTTTGTAAAGATAAAGTCTATGGCACTTTATTAGAACATCATCAAAAATTTGCATAATTTTCATTTGTATTCCTTTTACAGTAATTCCCTCTTTACATTAACAAAATAACAATATTATGGAGATATCTACTATTAGAGCTCTAGAACTAGAACAAATTCAAGATTTATCAGAGACATCTATCAATCAACAGAAATATTGTATCAACATGTACTACAATGAGGTTTATACAGATCTTTTCAGTGCATTCCATGTATTATGGTATTACACTAAGTTATATGTGTACAGACATAATTATATTTATGCTGGAATGAAAGATTTGCAATACCTACCTTTTTCTCTTTGGAGTGCTCAGGACAGAGGACCTTCAATCTCTTACAATAGGTCTTGTTTTGGCTGTTGTAGAAGTCACAGAACATGGAGCTGCCTTCGATTCTGGTCTTGTAGATAGAACCAAATGATGTCTGGCTTTCATACTGGAACAACATACACAGAAAAATAATCTCTAGTTTTAAATATTTTTACGAAGGCTGCAAAATGAATTATTTTGGATTGGACTTTCTATCAGGAAAAAATAAAATAAGTTGATTGGGTCTGGATGTTTGTCATCATTTTATATGCTGCAACTGCTGCATTATTGAGTCAGCATTCAACAACAAAATGGAAACATTTCTAGGCAGTCATTTAAGATATTTCAGTGATAATCATAAATTAAGCTTACCTTGGCAGAACACTTCTCCATGTGTTCCAGTGCAGCTTAGGGATGTATCTCACAAGCTTACCTTGGCAGAGCACTTCCCCATGTGTTCCAGTGCAGTTCTGGGATGTATCTCACAAGCTTACCTTGGCAGAGCACTTCTCCATGTGTTCCAGTGCAGTTTAGGGATGTATCTCACAAGCTTACCTTGGCAGAGCACTTCTCCATGTGTTCCAGTGCAGTTTTGGGATGTATCTCACAAGCTTACCTTGGCAGAGCACTTCTCCATGTGTTCCAGTGCAGTTTAGGGATGTATCTCACAAGCTTACCTTGGCAGAGCACTTCTTCATGTGTTCCAGTGCAGTTTTGGGATGTATCTCACAAGCTTACCTTGGCAGAGCACTTCTCCATGTGTTCCAGTGCAGTTTTGGGATGTATCTCACAAGCTTACCTTGGCAGAGCACTTCCCCATGCTATTAGTGAAATTTTGGGATGTACCTTGAAACCTTAGCTTACCTTAACAAAGCACTTCTCCATGTGTTTGAGTGCAGTTTAGGGATGCATCTCATAAACTCACCTTGGCAAAGCACTTTTCCATGTGTTTAAGTGCAGTTTTAGGATGTATCTCATGTCCACATGTCACACAGTAGACACTCAGCTCCTTCTCTTCTTCATCATCTTCTGTAGTCTGTTTAAACAAGGAAATACTTTAGTTTAACTATCAAGCATGTATAAATGACAACTTATTACCTAAGTATACCTTCAACTAAAACACTGGAAAAGTAGCATTTGGTCACTTTTCACTTATAATCTCATGAAGTAGTCATTTTAACCAGATACTTTTCAATCTAAACATACACACTATACTATACATGTACTTGTATCAACTTGGGGGACTCAGAACCTGATATCTTGAACATTACAGACCAGTTATAGACTAGTGAAAATATTACACCCCAAATGACGTCTAGTGACCAGCTGCTGACTACTGTAGTCCTGAGTAAATGGAGAAGATTGTTCATAGTGCTATGAATTTATTAACATAGATCCATGTGAATATTTATGTAATTCTCATGATCACAACTACCAATAATTAATGAAATCATATTTTTCAAACATTTATGTAAACATTTCACACAGTGACATTCAATATGTATTTATTAAATGTTGCAATGAAATCTTCAAATTTTTGGTTTTCCACTTTTTTTGTGAAAGTGTAGAACCATGGAAAAAATTCAAAAACATCGTTAAAAACTGGGAATTCAGAAATCATCCTAGTAGTAATTCTAGCTGAAAAACCACCTACCTCATCCTCTGTAAGAATACTTGTGTGTTTGGCTTTTTCTAAGATCTTATCAAGTTGAGTATGTTTTTCATCCAGCTCGACAAGTTTCTGTCTAGCTTGAAGTTGTTTTTCCCGTAGAGATTCAAGAGTTTTCCTGTTGTTGAGTTCAGCCTGACAGGGTGTAGCATTCCACTGTTGAATTCGAGATGGCAGGATCTCATATATACGGCTAAAATAAAAATTTTGTAATAATACAATGAAAACAAGATCTTTATGCAATATAACATTGAATTCCATGGCTATTCTCATTTGCTAAATATGTAGGTCAGATGTAACCTAAAATGACACCCTAAAGCCATTGCTTTTTTTCTTTTATTTTCTGTCAATAATTTTCTTCCAACAGATTTTCAACATGGCATGTTTTTCAGATTTTTCAGATTTTCATAAAGGAAAGCACCCAGTTGCCGTAACACTGGGGATATCATGTGTGTACTGAAAGTATATGATGTACGCTTTTGAAGTGAGATCATATGAAAATAAAAATAACTTTTTTGAATTACCTTGTGGCTAGTTTCATGCCACAATCATCAGAACAATATTTGGAGCCCTTCCTTGAAGGCTTGATACATTGTGGACCCAAACATTGTTTTTCATCCTCATCTTCATCACTTGCGTCCTCATCATCCATCTCTGCTTGTCTCCTGGTTCTCTTGTCAGCCGCCTTGTCTCTAGCCTAAAACAAACATTTGGTTGATTACGGGAAAATAATTGTTTTAGCTTCTCTATAAATGTTGCTGTGTCATGCCTATTTGTATTAACTTCAAAAATTTAAGCTACATCTACTACTTTGCAGAATTAAGACATGTCTGTATCTTGAATTGAGGATAACTCCTCCATTTGATAGGATTTTTTGGACCAAGATATTATTTTCAATGGTGAATTATCTTTATAGATGGTAAATTGTAAACACTGTAATTTCTGTGCCAAATTAGCAGATAAGAGGTTCGAGATCCTATTTTAAATGGAAATTCAAAAGGTGAATCATATGTGGGATGACCCTTGTAATTATGAGTATGTACCACACAAACAATCCTCTGCATTTACAAGGGATGAGACAGGCATAAATTGTTTCAGGAAACTGTTCCATCCATACAGATGGCAGATACTAAGTTGATGCAAATAGTCTATTTATGAAAGACATACCCCACTGTGTAAAGCTTTTCTTTTCTTGTACTTTCTCTTCTCTCTGCCTGGGGTGTCAGTAAGGACTTCTTTCTTGACTTTCTTGGCAACTGGGGAATCATCTGTGAAACTGTCTCTTTGCTCCTTTTTCTGATAGTAGGCATGCTCTGTCACCTCGGCACTGTAAAAATAATTATCCCATGTACTGGCAACTTGTATGACACATCATATAATATATGAAATTAATTGAGAATGTGAATGAACATATGCAATTGTGAACCACTGAAGATAAGAAGTCACTTTAATTCTCATGGAAATATTGCATGCTTAGTTCTAGAAACAGAAAACCTTCCAATCCAATACAACAGATGCCCTCATTTCTGAATTCAAACGATAAATGCTATGAGGTCTTTGTAAAATTATATAAGGTGAGTGTGATTATTATTGAAAACAATGTTTCTTTTTATTCATACTCACTTGTCATAGTAGGCAGGGTCAAGGTCAGGATCATCCCCTTCAAGATCCCTCTGTTTCCAGCCTTTACCAGTACTAGCCAGCCCCTGGAATAAGACATAACCACATTAAATCTATATTTACATTGTTTCCTGAAGGATACCAATCAAATGAGGAAGGAAAATAGACTGAAATTTCAGTCCCAAATCAATTCATGACTACGAATTGTAATGTATTGTTTGATGTCTCTAAGGGAAAAATGAACAGTTGAAAATATGGAGTACTCTAAAATAGAGGGTGAACTTACATAGTTTTTACACTGCCTCAGTCTGCACTTCTGTCTTATTCTACTTGGACCTCCAAACTTCTTCATGTCCTGAAAGAAAAAGGCAGATTTAGATTTCTAATGACTGACTTATAAATTGGACATGAGGTATTAAGTTTGAATGAATATCTCATGATTTTTGTGAAACATTATTACAGTAATGTGAATTTAGATGTGTACCAGTTCAGTTCCTCTTTATTTACAGGGCCAATAATACCTTGGCTTAGGCCCTGGCTATTGTTGTACAGTATACTAATATTGTCTAAATAAAGGAACAATAAAAACTTAAGTTCCTCTTTATAGATAATTAATAATTAATCAAGATGTAGATTTATAGACACTCTAGATTTCAGTACCTTGCAGAAGTCACATTTGCCACAATCCTCTCCGAGAGTACAAGCCGGGCAGATGCCACATCTTCTTGTTCTCTTCTGCTTTAATTCTGCCTCCTTCTCTTTCTGAAGTTACAGTAAATACAATTACTAAAGAGAACTATAAAAGTTTTAAAAGAAACACGACATAACATAGTTTTAAGTAAATTTAGGGAATGAAATATGTACTTTGTTAATCTATTTATACAGAATACAATTATTTCGCTTAATTATTTCGCCTCTGCATATTTTTAAGTAAAACTTGGAAAGTATACTTTTTTAAAATGTGAAATACCTCAGCTGCACTTATACTTCTTTTCTGTTTCTTGCCATGTTTCTCATGGTGTTTATCATGATGTTTATCATAGGTCTTGGTGTGGTGTTTACTGTGATGCTTTTCATGTTTTTCAGGCTTCTCTGATCTTTCAGTGTCACTAGACTCACTCAGCATTCTATACTTCTTCTTGTACTTTATTTGCAATTTTGGGTCCATGTCTACAAACGATAAACTCACATTATTGAATAGGTTTTCATAAGGGCACTTGACTGAGCTTTGATGTTTTATGTTAGTGTGCACAATAAAGAACATCAAACAGGCTTTTTTAATTTACATTCTCCATGCTGCTTGTGTGCAGTATGGAACAAAAGGCCTCTTACAAGGAGGAATTGGACAATTAACATTAAATAAAAACAGCAAATCCACATTGTAGCAAATCCCCAAGTAAAAATATTCCTAAATCTATTTTCGTTCTCAAAATTCACACCCATTCAAGATTCATGTATTGACAGTTATTAAACTGCTCTTTTGCAGACATAAATGAGCCTATGTAACCAACCTCTACAAGATCGACAGACATAGTACTTGATCTTCTTTGATGTACTTTGGTTTACTCCTATGCAGTCTCCATGGTACCATTCCTCACAGTGATCACATTGACTGTAAAGTTAGAATAAGCGTGATCAAAGTCTAATCATGAAAGATATATATATAGAAAAATATATAGATCCTTAATTTGTTTTATTCATCATGTTGCCATTGAATACAGCCTCAATCTTATTAAGATATCAGAATTCAATAATTTGCAAAATTACAAGATACTCAAATATTTTACTTACATCATGAAGCGTGTGCCATCTGTAGATCTACATATACAGTACTGAATCGGTGCATTAGGATCTTGTGACTTCTCTGGTACTGTACTTTTCCCTGTCGCTTTATCAACATCAATACTTTTCATCAATGTCTTCACCTTGCTACTTCGCTCCGGCATTATGAATTGCTTTGCAATTTCTTCTTGCTGCAATGATAAATTAATTGCAGGGATTTTATTAAAACTTCTGACAAGAGGCAAAACAAAAAGAGTCAATATACCAGAATATTAATGATTTTAATATAATGAGCCAAAAACAGGAATTATTAATTGAGTAAAAACAACAAGATATTGAGTGAGATATAAACAAAACAATTATACAACAATTACAATTTATTATTCACAGATACTAGTTTTCTGCATGAAAAAAATCAAAATTCTGCAAAAAATTCTGCAAGAAAAAAAGCAAATTCTGCAAGGAGAAAATTGAAATTCTGCACAAATTTTCAAAAAAAGTCCAAATTCTGCAATCTTCGAAAACGGAAACGGAAGTCAGTTACTTTCTAGGTAAGAACTCGCGTCATTAACGAACTCGCTTTAGCGAATTTAAACGTGATAGAATGTTGAATTTCACGGTGAAATCGTACTTGTACTCAATAATGATTGATTGTTGGACATAAACAGACACTCTTCAAATACCCCGCAAAGGTAGGAGATCGTAAAATATGTAATTTCTGGAAATTCTGGTAATTCCGCGGGATTTTCATGAAAATCAGGGATTCTGCAAAAAATTGAAGTTTTGTCAAATTCCGTCCATGCCGCGGAATTACGGAATACTAGTATCTATGATTATTGGACTAATTTTAAAAAGAGATACATCATGGAAAACCTAAATATTTCAATTTCAAAAAGATGCATGTTAGGCTTAGAAAACTATGGTGCCTTCTGCAGCAAAATAAGGGCCAGAAATAGCTTTCGCAGGAAGTAAGGCCAGACAAGATTCCTCAAGTATTCAATCCATTTCTTCAGGTCTGTGATTTGGTGTAAAAATTTATTAGATAAAAACTTCTAATAATCTCACAACTACTTATTCAGAAGATAATAGATTACAAGCCTCTATGGTGATCGTTTAATCGTCCAAATATTTGTAAAAACAGCTGAAAACTAAGGATTCTTTATGTTTTGATTTGAAAATTTGACCCAGTTTTCAAAATGATGCACAAACTTTATCATTTTCTGCAGACAAAGACAATTTAGGCGAAAACTAAACCTACCGAAATTGCCTCCGATTCACTGTCTGTCATTTTGCTGGATGTATAAGTGACAATTTTGTCCCAACCCAAAGCAATTTAGAGAATATCGGCAGAAAAATAGTAGAATTTGCAAATGGCAAACATCGCTTGTGAACTACGTCATCAGTTTGCGGGTAGCTATGGAACCGGAAGCAAATGCAATGTCAGAGGTCACGGAGGCTGACAGTTGCAGAATTTCGCCATTTTGAGCGGAATAAAATTTGTACTGTAATTTATCGATTTTCTCATGATTCCCGAATAATGGAGGGCTTAATTCCAGTTATCAATAAACTCCAGGATGTATTCAATACGGTGGGATCCGAGGCAATTCAGCTTCCACAAATCGTTGTCATTGGGACACAGGTAAAAATTGCCGGTAGAAAAAATATCTTGAAAAATTGGATGAAAATTGAAAAAATTCTGTATTCTTTCACTTTTGTAAACTTTGTAAAATTGCTTGTGGTGCATAATACCATGAGCTTTCTTGAAAGCCCAGGCCCATGCTAATACCAACATCAAAGGCTCCAGAGCAGATGGTACAGTTGTTGCGGAAAGAAAATCCTACCCCCACTCTGTCTGTGTAAAACTAAAGCTAGATCTACTCAAGAAAAAAGAAGTGTACACATCAGGGACTTGACTCAATGTTCCCCAAGGGTAAAGTAATAGTAAGCCATATATAGAAGAGATTATATACAGCTTACTATTACTTTTCCCTTGGCCTATGGGCAGTAGGTGACGTGATCGACTCTTCATAAACAGGCATCATTGGAAAACTCTTGGAAAATATGTGCTTGTGATTGATCGCGTGATCATACCCTGCTATTTGATTGAACATTGTACAGACTGCTGTTCATAATTCTGATCAGGTCATCCATTGCCAAAACTTTGTCAACAAGAAAATGGTCAAATGAGGGTAATAGATACAATTATACTTATAATTTTGTGTGATGGGATACAGTAACAGTAGCCTATTTAACACAGGTGAGCAAGTTCAAGTCACCAAGATGAGCTAATTAAGGTGAGAATCGGGAAATAAAAAAAGTAACTTTATTTTTTTAAATGGCTGTTTCCAATTCTGGTATACATGTACATGTAATTATATGGAAGTAAGTTTCGAAAGAAACATTGACTCAAATCCGTGGTACACAAAGATAGCTCTGGGGTTGATTTTCAATTCTACCACCTGTGCCAAAAACTTATGTAGTGAATCAGAGGTAAAAGTGGGTAATATTGAGAAATGTAGTCCTTTGCAAAAGTTAGGTGTACTGTCCCAGGTGTACTGAGAAGAGTTTTGAAAATTTGCAGTCTCGTAATAGTACCTGCAAAATTCAAAACATGAAATGTGACTTTAAAGATTGCATTATTGTGTGTAAAAGATCAGCTGGTAGTCTACTGGATAAGCTTGCCTTAAAGCTACATGTATTGAAATAGCAACAAATAACATTGATAAAGAATGATGTAAAATTTCACAATAACAAGTTGAAATACATGTAGAACGAGTCATTACCTTCATCACGTTTCATCTTCCTTTCAATTTACATGTCAGATTCACTAGGTTAGTTAATGTATTTTAGAGATTCATGGCTTAAATCTGCTATCATTATATCATGACTAAGAAGGCTAAGAGCTTGTGATAAAGCTTAAAGGTTTTCAACTTTCTTGTGTTACCATGACCTTGCACGTACCCTATTCAAGATTTCAAATCTACATTTACCTGGTCATAATGACATTTACACTTTACAGGTAGTCAAGTTTTATTAGAATATAAAACCCACATATTTTGGAAAATAGAATTAATCCATGAATCGTAACAATATTACATTCATGTTTTCTGTAACATTTTAAATTAGGTTGCTGTTTTTGTTTTTAAGTTTTTGTTTTATTAAGTTTTCAAATACTGTAATATGAGTATCAGTATCATTTATTTTGTATAACCCCTAGGAATCATTCTAGGAAATGTTAAAAAACTTTAATGAAAAAAGTATTTTCTTAACATGTTCTATTTGTTACCATTACAGAGTTCTGGCAAAAGTTCAGTATTGGAGAACCTGGTAGGACGAGACTTCTTACCAAGAGGTAGTGGTATAGTAACGAGACGTCCCCTTGTGTTACAATTAGTTTATGTCCGAGAAGATGACAAGGAAACAAGAGAGACAGAAGGAGGTATTTGATTTTATCATGCTATTGACATCTGCATTAAAGAGACACTTTCTACCTGTATTGCTTTGTCAAAAATCACTTGAAATCTTGGGAGAATGATTTGTAAATAGCCTAGTATGTCATTCCCCAGCACTCTTGCGCAATATCAATATACTCCTTTGAAAAGATACGTGTTCAGAATGAGGTACCAGGTACATACATGTATGTATAAACTTTCTTTGTCCCTGAATTGAATTGAAATCAGAATCCTAGACAATGAAGTCAAAAGACACAGTATATTCACTATCTTCAAATACTTAGGAATATTGTTACTCCAGTTCTCAATGAGAATTTTGTTAACTTGCAGATAATGTTGAAGCTGCTGAGTGGGGGAAGTTCTTACATACAAAAAATAAAATCTACACAGACTTCAAAGAGATTAGGAGAGAGATTGAAAATGAGACAGACCGCATGGCTGGAACAAATAAGGTATTTTATCTCTTCAGCATTGAAGTATGCAGATTTGGAAATGTCAATGTTGCTCATCTATAATTTCATTTGTTCTCATTTGATAATTTTGGAAATCATGAAAAATTGGCTATTTTGAACCTGCAATAAAGATATGCATTCTCACCAACTAAATCTTGCAATAGAAATCTGGTTTTGTGTACCAAAAGCAAATAATGCCAGTCTTTTATTAAGTTATTAAGCTTTATCCTGACATAAATATATACCGTCCTTAACTACAATGTACTGTTACTAAACTTGGCAAAGCTTAACCTCTTGAATCCCAGGCTCTAAAATTGGCATGAAACCAGAGAATTTTTCATTTTTTGCCACCTTTTGACATTTTATTACATACCTATACAACTTTAGATGCTCAGCTTAGTAAAATTGGACGGCAGAGATCATTTCTACACGTTTTAAAATTTTTTTTGTGTAAATTGGATGAAAATTGTTCAAATGAGAGCAATTTTTGTGAAAAATTTTGTGACGGATTTTCTCGTCCCTCTGGGCACCAGTCTTATTTCATTTGTGACGGATATATCCGTCACTCTGGGTATTCAAGAGGTTAAAGGGGCAACAAGGACTGTAGAGAGAAAATTCGAAAATTTTTATTTTTTCTGAGCTATCAGGTCAACATTTGGCTTAACACCTTCCTTGACATACCTTTTTTCTTAAAATGTATGGATAAACTATCAATTTCAGCATTAAGAAGTGTAAATTTAGTTCAAAGCTTCTATAAAGGGAGTCACACATATAGACTTTTAAGATCCAACACGTTTCAAGAGGAATATCAGCTGAAATAAAGTTCATCCAGGGGGTTTCTTTGTAGATAATGAAAAGATATGTTAGTCTTGATGAAATATCCGAAGTTAAATATATTCTGACACTGGTCGATGATCGTTGAATGGCCCCCTGTACTAATTGTTGCACGTTTAATGTTATATATTCTTTTCTTTCTAGTATGTGCTTGTTTGTAGAGAATGAATAAGCAATGAAGCCATTAATAATCTTTAGGGTATCTGTGAAGAACCAATCATGTGCAAGATCTATTCCCCGAGGGTTTTAAATCTCACATTGGTGGATATGCCAGGAATGACGAAAGTTCCAGTAGGGGACCAGCCTGAAGATATAGAAGTCCAGATCCGTGCGTTGTGCATGAAGTTTATGGCTAACCCCAATTCTATCATTCTCGCTGTGTCTGCAGCTAACCAAGACATGGCTACATCAGAATCTTTGAAACTGGCCAAAGAAGTTGACCCTGATGGTAGGCGATTCTATTGATTGATTAAATGTTGATTTTAATCATGATATATATTAGTTATCACAATATGCAGAGTGAGCCTGCAAAAAGCACTCAGAGTGGAAAATGACCCATCAACACTGAGTGATTTTTCAGGCTAAGTCATACTAAGATGAAGATTGTTTTGCAAAACGATTAATTACAACTATACCAATTACCCCAAAAATACCTGAATTATACAACTGGCAACTGCATTTTCTGTTAAGTTCATAAAGACGCACAAAAACACTGCGCTATACTTCATTCAGCCAATTTCATGATATTTCTTGTTTGTTTTGTATATCAGGTAGACGTACACTGGCTGTGTTAACAAAGCTAGATCTGATGGATGCTGGGACTGATGCAATGGATTACCTGATGGGCCGTGTCATTCCAGTAAAACTGGGAATCATAGGGGTCGTGAACAGAAGTCAAGCAGATATAAATGATCAAAAGGTTTTCAATTTCATAAAATATTGTAAATTTCAGAATTGCTGAATGTAGATAAGATATATCATTAATGATTTAGTTTGTTGAAGTTGAAATTCAACATCAGATACATGGACCTGTTTCTTGATTATGTAGAACAAAAAAGTGTTTTAAAAAAGTTTTTAATCAATAGCGATACTGTAGGTTTATTTCATGAATTCAAATGTACAGTGTATATACATTGTTGAGGCTAATAGCTCTCCAGCTTTGATGTCCCAAAGTGTTAGGGATGACAGACAGACTTGAACAGCATCTTATGATTATGTATATAACATAGTGACATTTATCTCTAGGAGATCAAAGAAGCCTTGAAAGATGAAGCTTCCTTCCTACAGAGGAAATATCCTGCTGTAGCTAACAGAAATGGAACACCAAACCTTGCCAGAACTTTACAAAGGGTTAGTGACAGTTTAATGTTTTTCTTAGAAAATAAATGTCAAGATATTAAAAATGAAATTGTAAATGAAAGTACTGTAGTACCATTTTTTTGTTTAAAGAAATAGAATATATGATCATGTTGTCTTTAAATATTGAATGAAAGTAAAATCAGACGTCTGATTCTGATTCTGAAGCTAATTCCACTTTTGTAGTCATATTAAATAAAAAAAATTTTAATATGACACAGACCAATCCATGTTGTTTGATTTTAGCTCCTCATGCACCATATACGAGACTGTCTCCCAGAGTTGAAGACACGAGTTAATGTAATGGCTGCTCAGTTCCAACAACTCCTTAATTCATTTGGTGACACTGTGGCTCCTGATGAGAAGGTACAAATTGATGAGTCTTCACTGTCATTTGTGCTGTCCTATGTCAAAAATATATCTTATGTTGATAAATTAATGAAAATAGGTGCATTTATTAAAGAAATGCAACTTGATCACAGACCTTTTTGTCAAAGATTTTTAATGCATATTGAAAGGTGCACGTGGGTTATCGCAAACAATTTCAGAAGGTTATATCTTGGATTATGACTATTTTCTGACAATGAAGACAAGTTTATCTTTTAGATCAATTCATTATCTCAAAGAAAATTATGCACAGTAATAATAAATTCAAACAAACTCGGAGATATTTAACTAGCAATTAACCCATCAACACACTTTTTGACCCCATTTTGAAGATGTTGACCCTATTTTCACCAAAAATGCAATAATTTTTTACAATGTTTAATACATTACTATTCGTTATTTTGATGTATCAAATAGTTCTTGAAAGAAAAACTTAATTGCATTAAGAAAGGTGTTCCCCATGTTACTTCTCCATTGAAAAATCTCATGCTATCCATTGGTTTCAGTTCATTTTGGTCATCCAAATTGAATATCTTTAAAGTCCCTGGAGCAATCAAATTTTCCTTTTAGGAAATCGAACATGTCTCAAAGCACATTCTAATTATGCATTCAACAATATAATAATAGGTTGCATTTTTGGTGAAAATTAGGTCAACATTTTTGAAAAAGTATGATAATTCAAGTTAGAATCGTTTGAAATTGTTTGCGATAACCTAAGTCCTTTTGAATAAAATAGAGTGAATATTAGGATAAGATGTTTAGCATACCTTTTCAAGTATGAAACACCAGCTTTTAGTCTGTCACATCTGGATAAAGGGTATGTTCCTTGGCGAATCTCTAAAACCCTCTCTCCTAGGTACAGTGAAGTGGTATTAATTGTGTTTTTGTCACCACCAAAAAGTGGTGACATATTGTTATGGTCTCCGTTTTTTGTAATGGTGGTTGGCGATCAGCTTTTTTGTGATGACGGTTGGCGATCGGCGTCTGTAACAATATTGTGAGCAACAAGGTGGCGGCATTTTGTCTAGTCTGTTGTATTTTAAATGTTAGGAGTATGTAAAAAAATTTCTATGTATGTTATTGCAGAGCCAGTTACTGTTAAGCATTATCACAAAGTTTGCAGCTGCCTACTGCAGTACCATAGAAGGCACATCTAAGAATATAGAAACAGCAGAATTGTAAGTACTTTACATAGATATATACAATCCAAAGTCATGTCAGTTTGATTGTGGAGAGTCTAAAAATCCCAACCAAGTTTATTGTAAAAAGAGATATATGGATTCAACAATTGATTTTCAAGAAAAGTTCCATTTTTAGTGATCAGTTTACCAAGTCCCAAAAAGAATATGTGACATCTGCAGGTTTAGTTTATTAAAATATATTTGAGACGAAGATCGGTATAAATGGTTGATTTGTGTATTGTAAATTCAGCTGTAGATGACCCTCATAGAGTGGGGGTACATTGTTTACCATTGATTATCATTACTGTAGGTGCGGAGGAGCTAGAATCTGTTATATTTTCCATGAGACATTTGGTCGTACACTGGAGAATGTGGACCCTCTAGGAGGACTCACACAGCTAGACATACTCACCGCAATAAGAAATGCTACAGTGAGTACACTCACAATTGATATGTTGTCCAATTTGTGAACCATTTGGAAAGAACAGAGCTAATTTCGTCAGGGGAAGGGAATGAATGAATTTTCATTCGGAAGAATGTTGATTTTGGAAAATTTTAAAGAAAGGTAAATCAACATTTCAAATTTATTAATATGGGAGAAGATGTTCGATTGAATATGTGGTTGCTCAATTTAACAGAGGCACTGGCATTCCCTCCTAATTAGGGCATGTGCATATGCATTTTATTGTTGCAATTACATGAACTTAACTAACTATAATTTGGTATGCTCTACTTCTATTTCCAGGGTCCAAGGCCTGCACTGTTCGTACCTGAGATAGCATTTGAACTGTTGGTGAAACGGCAGATTCGCAGATTAGAAGAGCCAAGTATTCGTTGTATAGAACTAGTCCATGAAGAAATGCAAAGGATTATCCAACATTGTGGCACTCAGGTAATAGGACATGGTACCATATACAGTATAAACGTAAGTGAATATACAACCTAGAAGTTGCATGGCTTGACGCTGTGAGAGGTTTGGCGATATACATCCTTGACTCATTGATTGGTGTTATTGTATCATGAATCAAGTGTCCAACCTTAATGGTTGGGTTACCATGGTGATTTTTCACATCGGAAAACTGAATGAAGTTCTGGAAAGATTATTTATTCGTTTTCATGATAATGATAAATTGTTTCAATGAATTAATGTTGTTTCCTAATGCTTTAATAACACTGTAAGTATTGAAAATTGAAGTGATTATTTTTTATTGCCCTTTTATTGCGAAAGTTATTTGCTACTGACTAAACATAACCCAAGAGAAATACCAAAGGTTAGATTGTAGTCTGCTTTAAGAATTTCTAGAAATTTTACCCCCAACATTCTAAAAATAGTAAAATAAATAATTTAGAGAAGCTTCACTCAAATATTTTTGATAGTGATAAATAACTCCATCGGATTATTTTGATTTTGCATTTTATCCTAAATTAATGCTTTAATCATTAATTGATTTTGATTAAACCATTGTTTAGTGTGAATAGTTGAACTACATGTTCATTCTTCAGCATTGAGGTTTCGTTTGTGTGTGAAAGAATGACAATATGCAAAGTTTGCTATTCTGATACAGTCTAGTCCTTCATATCTGTGATCAATGATGTGAATTCACTCATAAAGAATATTCAATAACTATATCTCTTCAAACAGCAGATTGGTTTTGAAATCCTTTTAGTTTTTAGGTATCCCATTAAAAGATAATTTCGAGTTAATTTTCAGAAATCATTTTTTTAAAACATATTAATATTTTATATAAAAACCGAATTTAAAACATTAGAAAATCTAATAGTGTATAATGTGTTGAATATAAACCATTGTATATCAAATCTTTAACTTATATAGACCAAACTTTGTTATGTATGTAATTTCTAATAAGTAATCCATGATTTATTGTTTCTACAGCAAGAGATGCTGAGGTTCCCAAAGCTACATGAGAGAATAGTTGATGTTGTCACGGCACTATTGCGCAAGAGACTTCCACCCACCAATACCATGGTAAATATTATGGCCTGCTATTGTATACCGAAACGCATGTTTATTATGTCAGGTCATATGGGGCATACTTATTTTAACTTCAATTAGAAAAACACCAGCTTGGGAGTTGTTCCATTTACAGATTTTCATTTTACATGTATGTTAATATAAGTTAATAGGGTTTACCAAAGTGTTCCACTGATATACATGTTCCACTACTTGTTTTGCTGTAACCTTTCTTAGCAAAGTGTTTAATAAGAGTAATATGCATACATTTTCTGACAGACAAAAAACTATGATTAGTGATCAGAGATGCCAGTTTGTGTTGAAATATTTGGTCTACATTTGTGGATGTTAACAATGCTGAATCAGCAGTTGCTTTCTTAGTTGAATGCTAGAATTTCACAAATAGCTCTTTTCTTTATTTGTTCTAGGTAGAGAATTTGGTGCAGATTGAGTTAGCATATATCAACACTAAGCACCCAGACTTCACAGAGGCATCATTAGTACATAGAGCACTCACAGACAATATCAATAATGATATACAGAAGTTTAACAAAGAACCCATGAACAAACAGTTCATACAAGAGGAGAAAGACAATGTAAGAGAAGCACCCAGGGTGAGTGGTCTTTTATGTTTTGTTCAATTTGTTGGTAATAGAAGTAATTTGAAAACTTCAAGATTGTCATAGTCAGGTTTAGATTAAGGAAAAGGGGTTGATGTTAAAAATGGGTCACTTTGCCATTCACATTGATATGTTATGCCTCAGTCACATTTGATTTACGAGAACTGTACGGCAGCCAATAGCTTCCCAAAATTGAGAGAAATATGCTGCATAAAACATATGGATAAGCAATACAATGTAGATTTTTTATATCGATTTTATGAAGCAGCTGCCACTGTAAAGTAAATATGACTGAGGCTTTATCCTTGTGGCCTTACCAACCAAATGAGTTCAAACTTTGATGCTTATTGGTTGAGCTAGTGTTGCTCTTGCATCTTCTTATGTGTCAATTCTTCATGATGATGAAATTCAAAATGAACCAAGATAACAAGATGATCAGGGAAATAATTTGGGAAAACTTTTTTCAGCACAGTTTATATTAGGAGGGGTATACAGTGCAGTATGTTGTTCACATGGTACAAATAATTTAAGCGATATAAGTTTATTAATCGTTTAAGTGTATCAAAGTTTTCCCTAAATATGTCTGGCATCACTGTATGTACTCATGTATGGGCTACATATGAATATGTTCATATTGGATGCCTGACTTTCTCATTATGTGACACTGTTTGCACGAGGGTGCCTGGTTTTAGCTTCTGCTTCATTTGTTCATTAAACTAAATGAAACCATAAATAGCACATAGTATAAGTCAGTATTACATAAAAATATGATTTTAATTTGTAAATCATGAAATTCCATCATTTTTCGAGGTATTGATAAAAGTAAATAAAGACTGGCAACAAATCCTACATTTAGAGGGCAAACAAATGCTTCATTGAGTTTTTATTTGAGAATAACAATTGTTTGATTTATTTGTTTATTTCGTGTGTGCACGCATGCTGGCTTGTATTACAGAATCCCACCCCCACTCAGGACCAAACATCCACTGCAAATGCTTCGTGGCGTCTCTCCAACTGGTATAGGGGAGCCAAGGGAGACATCCCTCTTGATGTACAAAGTTTACCTAACAGTGTAACAAATTCCCCCGCTAGATCTTCACGGGAATTAAATCTGTTGCCTGAAGTTGTAAGTATATTTAATGTTTGTGTTTTTCTTCTGTTGGAGTATAGATTATGATAGGACCCTAGCAATGTCCAATAAACTTAAGGATCAAAATGCTATCACAGGTTAGGCATCATGACATTGAAAACTTGCATTAAAATCTACAAAAAATAAATAGATACTATTTTTTGGACTAGCTGGGTATCATTTCTAGACTTATTATCGGAAAGGACATTTTCTTTTCCTCAAGGGGCAAGTTACTGTTGCCCTCTGAATATCGTTTGTTCTGTGACACCCCTATATTTTTCAACGGTAGCATTTCAATACAACAAATCTCAATCTGTAATTGCTAGACTCCCATATCATACATCATGAACATGAAGAAAATTATAGTCTATTGTAGGAACTGGATGTTCTGTGTTCTAGGCTAGTTTCTAATGCTTGCTTCTACCCACTAGTTTAGCGATTATATCTTCACCTAAGTGTTTAGGTTTAAGGAAGCAGGGGAAAACAATTGGGAATAGTTTGTTCAGGTTCAAGATTGTTTTGAATAAAATTATTAAAACAGGGGATATTCAGTGAAATGTTATACACACCTGATACAATGAATATGAATACTGTACTAGTATAGATATTTTTAGATAATACTAATGTATCTAAATATCATACAACTGCTTTATTGAATGGCTCTCTTCAAATCAAAATCCTAAAGTTGACCCTTAAACCTCTATTATATGTATTTTGGAAATTGATTAAGATAATATTTAATCATCAGATACTGACTATTTTTAATTTTTTTAAGTTTTCATCGAATAGACATGCTAGTTTTAGCATATTCTGTTAGTCTTACTTTCATGAAATACTTACTAATACTGCCTTTATAGAACTTTTTTTTAATGCTTATTATGCAATCTGTAGTTTAATTCTCCTCTGTGAAACAAGGAATTGTTGCCAGTCAAACCTTAAATCTCTATTAGCATTTAGAATATAACATATGCTTTATAAGAATGAAACCATGTTTGAGTAACATATAATCCCTAATGCTTTGGCATCTCGTCTATGCAGCAGTTAAAAGAGGATAATACGCTTGAAGTGAAAGTACCTAACATGACAAAGAAACCATTGAAAATACAGCGAGAAGTTAATCTCCTCCCAGAGGTGGTATGTAGCCTGAGATTTCTAGATGTGTCTCATGGTTTATCTGTGAATGGCTTTGGCTGCTTTAGCATAGATGCAACTTTGCTTTACATTTTAGAGTACATCATTTCCAGCTTAGTAGTTTTATTTTGCTTTGCTGTTATTTACAATGGATTGGATTTGCTTAGACCCTGATAATTATATAGCAGTGTATAAGAAAAAATGGCTTTACTCCAACCCTTAATTACAACTATTTTAACTGACTACTAACGAGACCTCATCATATGGTGAGCATTTTAAGTTCTGCATTGAGATGATCATGCCACCATATTTGCAAGTACATATATTCCCATGCCTAATAACTATGATAGCAGTGAGCGAACTCCATCCTCCTAAGCAGGTATCCAGAATCCGTACCTCCTTCTTCCCCCTGCTATAACCAATTTGGAAGCGCCCATTAAACTGAATCATGTGATCTAATTATGCGCAATGACTTATACATGATTTCTGTCGCACTGTTGCGACAGCCAATCAGATTGCGAGTTCTTAATTGGGGAAATGCTAACTGCTTATCACAGGGGGTAAAAAGAAAGAATATATTTTGGATTTTGAAGCCCTGTGATCGGAGGATGAGCAAACTCATGGTATCATAACTCTTCAGTCCACAATCCACTAGCTATCTGCTCACTGAAAGTAAGTACTCCTCAATGTTAAAGCAGTACTTGTATTTAACATAAAGCTAAGATGTTTGGTTACATATTCCCAGAATTGGCAACACAAGCACACCCTGCTTTGATCGCAATACAAACCAAAGACACCTGGTTTTATATGAATCTACACTTTAGATATTCAATTCTCAGATTTCAATTGCATGGTCAAATGTTGTACCTGTTGGCACATGTGCTAATGTTATAAGAGCTTGTACAAATGAAGAAAGCTCACCTTAGTGGTCAGGTAAACAAAATACAATATACACTGTCCTCTAGGTTTCTCAAATGATTAATTGTTTTGATCAATTACCGGGGCTAGGGAGATTTTTTAACAGAATATAAATTCATTTTTGTTCATAATTTCATTCCATTTAGGATTTTCGTCTTTCTCCAAGAAACTGCTGGGTATGTTATTTATTTTGTTTTGGTTTTTATCTCAACTTGGGTATTTACACTTTAGATTTATAATATACATTTAAATATAGTTCTATTAAGAATGAGGTTTACATTGGTATTTTAGTTTTGTTTAGAATAATTCTTAACTTTGTTTGTGTTCTTTCGTTTTAAATGTTGCCCTTTGAGCCTTCTTAGGTAGTGATTGTGTTTGATAATGGCACATTTTGATATCCATGTACAGTATTGATTTTTAAATTCTGTATTCATTCCCTCATTCGCTACAAGAAGTGATAAGAGAATGTATGATTTTGCAAACATTTATATCCAATACGTAATATGAATATGATATGATATGGGAGCAATAAAGGATCCTAACCTTAAAGGTAATATTCAGTTCATTCTTAGGTCATTCTCTTCCTACAGTCTAACTTCAGATGCCTGGGACATTAAAGCATGAATAACTTGTATGAACACTGGTAAATGTGTAAAATGTGAATGCTTGTTTGATTGGGCACTTGGTAAATATGTAGTTGCAGGGATGATGGGTTTCCAGACATGAAACTAAAATGCCCAAAGTTCATTATCTAAACCAAAAGTTTCTGCACATCACCTATGTGATCTGATAATTTAAATTAATGCCTCACTTAACTGGTTATGCCTTGGACAAATGCATTATGTCATACAAAATCTCTAAACCTTTTCACTAATGTTCTATTGAAAAAAGCTGTATAATCCACAGACAATTTACTGTTATTTTTTTGTTTTTTACAAATATTTTTTATGAATTTAGTGGATAATGTCATGCCTGTATACTTGCAGCCCAACCAGTCTGGTAATAGGAAGTTGTCATCAAGGGAACAACGAGACTGTGAGGTTATAGGTAAGACCACAGATATACATACTAACCAGATATATACATGTACATGATTAACTAGAATGAAACACATGACAATCTACAGATTCTGGTAAATTTAGGGGCTCATATGGTAGCCAAAGGTGGGCCCGTCAGTGAGGAAATTTGAACCACATTATTTATCTCGGGAAACATGTCAGATTTAATAATTTGGAACTTTGACGCCCAAAAAGCGACCATTATGGATAGCTTTTCTAGGTTTTATACCCCCGAGGTTATTTTCGAGGGGGTCTCAACTCTTTCTTAATAACTTTAAAAATATTAAAGATATGTGTCTGAAACTTGCAGGGTACCTTCCTGGGATCAACACATAGCTGTATTGAAAGTTTAGGATTATTTGGAATAACGGTTGCTATAGCAACCAAGAAAATGTGTTTCCGAACTGGCAATTTACAGCAATTTTGGCCTGTAGCAACCTGGTTGAAGTTAGATATTTTTTCTATTGATGAATTTTCACATTGTTAATTGGTTTCAAAAACACACTACAACTGTATTCTTTCATTTTATTGCAGATTAGAATTTACACCATTAGTATTAAAGGTCCATAATCGTACATGAATGAACCCACCCCTTAAAGTCTATAAAAAGTGGGCGTGGCACCAGACATGTACCAGTTTGTAATTCATAAGTTTAAATACCCAATAAATAATGGTGATATTTATGTTACCATGTTTCCAGTGGTAGTTGAAGAAGTTCTTTATAAAAACTAGATATATTACCATGGAAACCATATATTTATGTTGCCATAGCAACAGAACTGTGAAACTGTGAACTGTGAAAAAGCCAATAATTTGATCGAAGTCCTCGGCATGTGGTCCCATATATAGAAAATCAAATGTCCTGTATCTCTCAAAGATCTTAAAACCTTCCTGGGATCAACACAGAGCTGTATTGAAACTTTGGGATTATTTGGAGTAATGGTTGCTATAGCAACCAAGAAAATGTGTTTCTGAGCTGGACAATTTATGGCAATTTTGCCCCACTGCAACTTGGTTGGAGTTTGATATTTTTTCTATTGATGAATTTTCACATTGATAATTGGTTTCAAAAACACACTACAACTGTATTCTTTCATTTTATTGCAGATTAGAATGACACCATTAGTATGAAGGTCCATCATCATACATGAATGAACCCCCCCCCCCCGAAAGTCTATAAGAAGTGGGCGTGGCACCAGACATATACCACTTTGTAATTCATGAGTATAAAAACCCAATAAATAATGTTGATATTTATGTTACCATGTTTCCAGTGGTAGTTGAAGAAGTTCTCCTAAAAAATATAATCATATAATAAATATATATATAATATCATATATAAATATATTATCATGGAAACCATACATTTATGTTGCCATAGAAACAACTTTGGTCTGTTAACGCAAGGCTTAATGAAATCATTGTTCATTTGACTATTCATTTGGCCATTTAGAGAAAACAACAAATGTATGAGTAAACTATTGGCTGAATATATATCCTAGTAGTTTACATTCTTTGTAGTTCACATTTGTATGAGCTACTATTCTAGTATATCTGACACATCTCTGTTCTATAGTGATACTTTTACATTTGCTTGCAGAATGTGATATGTTATAGGCCCCAGAGTGATGGCACTCAGAAGACTGCATATGATATCAAATGAAGCTTGAAAAAGGAGAAAAGTAATACAGAATACTATGACCCTGTCATTTAACCAACAGATGAAGCTGTAAAATTCTTAAACCAGTCTATTTCAGTTGTCATCAGTCCTTTGTGAAAACTTCACCTATATAATTTTAAGATCATATGTGGGTTCTGACTCTTCTGGATCTGTCATAGCTGGCATCATCACATCAACAAGATCTTGTCGTAATATATTTGATGTGCACCAGTCTAGTTCTAGTACACAAGATAAATTATTTTTCACCCCATTGCCTCTGGGAGATGAGAGTTTAGGCTTGTGTTGCACACAAACTCTTCAATTACAGCCTGTGTTTCAGTTCTAATATTTGTAGACGACCCAATACATTAATTGAATGCATTTTGGTATTTCTGCCTATTTCATAGCAGAGTCGGGGGCCTGTAACAATAACAACCTGTGAGAATGGTGTATCATCAAGACTAGAAAATCTGTGTCTAGGGAATGCACAATAATGTTCTTTTACTGATCAAAACGTCTTCACATCTTGGTGTTTGCTTCTTCTTGTGTTGACAGTAGATTGTTATCAACATATGATCGGACATTCAGACCATCGCTAGTGACAATTGTGCATGTGTTCCCACATGTAAAGCATTCTTTTCTGTTCTTCAGCTTGGCTGAGTACTTATCTGTTTGCCACTCGCAAAGGATAAGTCTGTTTAGTTGGGTCTTGTTTTGGTTGTTGCTCAAAAATTCTTACCAATTCTTAGGGATTTGGTCCTTGGATCATGAAGGATTTTGATGATCCTCCTCTCATTTTCTCTGGTTCTTTTATTGAATCTATGTATTTGATAGCTGTCAGTAAAGAAATCTACCCTCTCTTACTTCAGTGGTAGCATGTCAAACACTTGCTCTGCCAGTTCTTCAAAGGTAGATAGACGCTGCACTAAGATAGCATTACCATCATATATGTAGAATGATTCATCTTTAGCTGGTCTTGAAGGGTGATGTTGGAGATTCTTAAGAGCATTTAGGGGTGTTGCTTTTGCTGCCTTCGCTGTTAGACCATCAGGAGACCCTAGCGCCCATGACAATGGACTAAGCGGATACTCTAAAACTTTCTTGTTCTCTTGAGATATAAGAACTAACTGTCAAAATAAATTCCTTTCAGCTCTAAACTTGTTGTCAGATGTTTTCAGGATGCCCTTCTCAATTGTCACAAATGTCTTCATTTTTATTCTTTTCACTGGATCTTCACTCACAAGTCTTTTTTCAAATTCCACCTTGCCTCTGGACCTGACATGCAGTAGGTCTTGAGCTACATCTGGAACAGACATTCCTGATGATAGACAGTAGAGTTGATTATAGCATCTGTCTCAAAGGGGTCTAAGAAAGTTACCTATTGCGGCCCTTGCTTTTGAAACACCTTCAGAGCCTGCTATGTTTGCACGGTAGTAGGCATTTGGATTGGTGATAAATCCAATTACCCACCCCCTCAGATTTCGCACTCTGATTGATAGTCTGTTCAGTGGTTTGATCAACTGGCAAATGTAGTGCAGGTACTTTGGACCTGTTAAGACTAAAACCAAGGTCTCTCAATAGCCTTTCTTTCTCTTGGTTGTTTTTGCTTGAGGTTAGCAAGCATGACATATTGTGCTGTTAGATATATAGCATAGTTGGGCTGGTCCATTGCAAAAATTGTGGACATAGGTCATGTAGACAATAGACAGAGTAAGTGGAGGTCAAACTCATTCTCTGCTAGCTTGGATGAATCGTGATATTACATGACAATAACCTCTTGTGAGAGCATGGGGATTGGTAGCTGGCTGATGAACTTGTCTTACAAATTCCTTTGCAGCAACTCCAGGAAGATTTTAAGCACTCTGATTGATCTGTTATAATGGTTTCCAGTTAGCACACCTTCAAGAGATCCACTAGCATATATGCCAGCTTCAATGATGATCTCAGAGAAACTGTGAAAGCAAAGCCAATGAATCAATAGCCAGAAAAACCAGGATGCATTCAATTAATGTATTGGGTCATCTACAAATATTACAACTGAAACACAGGCTGTAATTGAAGAGTTTGTGTACACCACAAGCCTGAACTCTCATCTCCCAGAGGCAATGGGTTGAAAAATAATTTATCTTGTGTACTAGAACTAGACTGGTGCACATCAAATATATTACGACAAGATCTTGTTGATGTGATGATGCCAGCTATGACAGATCCGGAAGAGTCAGAACCCACATATGAGCTTCAAAATTATATAGGTGAAGTTTTCACAAAGGACTGAGGAGAACTGAAATAGACTGGTTTAAGAATTTTACAGCTTCATCTGTTGGTTAAATGACATGATCATAGTATGCTGTATTACTTATCTCTTTTTCAAGCTTCATTTGATGTCATATGCAGTCTTCTGAGTGCCATCACTCTGGGGCCTATCACATATTACTTTCTGCAAGCAAATGTAAAAGTATCACTATAGAATAGAGATGTGTCAGATATACTAGAAAAGAAGCTCATACAAATGTGAACTCCAAAGAATGTAAACTACTAGGACATATATTCAGCCAATAGTTTACTCATACATTTGTTGTTTTCTCTAAATGGCCAAATGAATCGTCAAATGAACAATGATTTCATTAAGCCTTGCGTTAACAGACCAAAGTTGTTTCTATGGCAACATAAATGTATGGTTTCCATGATAATATATTTATATATGATATTATATATATATTTATTATATGATTATATTTTTTAGGAGAACTTCTTCAACTACCACTGGAAACATGGTAACATAAATATCAACATTATTTATTGGGTTTTTATACTCATGAATTACAAAGTGGTATATGTCTGGTGCCACGCCCACTTCTTATAGACTTTGGGGGGGGGGTTCATTCATGTATGATGATGGACCTTTCATACTAATGGTGTCATTCTAATCTGCAATAAAATGAAAGAATACAGTTGTAGTATATTTTTGAAACCAAATATCAATGTGAAAATTCATCACTAGAAAAAATATCAAACTCCAACCAAGTTGCAGTGGGGCAAACTTGCCATAAATTGTCCAGTTCGGAAACACATTTTCTTTGTTGCTATAGCAACCATGACTCCAAATAATCCCAAAGTTTCAATACAGCTCTGTGTTGACCCCAGGAAGGTTTTAAGATCTTTGAGAGATACAGGACATTTGATTTTTCTGTATATGGGACCACATGCACGAGGGCTTCGATCAAATTATTGGCTTTTTCATTACCATAGTTCTGTTGCTATGGCAACATAAATATATGATTTCCATGGTAATATATCTAGTTTTCTAAAAGAACTTCTTCAACTACCACTGGAAACATGGTAACATAAATATCAACATTATTTATTGGGTGTTTAAACTTATGAATTACAAACTGGTACATGTCTGGTGCCACGCCCACTTTTTATAGACTTTGGGGGATGGGTTCATTAATGTACGATTATGGACCTTTAATACTAATGGTGTAAATTCTAATCTGCAATAAAATGAAAGAATACAGTTGTAGTGTGTTTTTGAAACCAATTAACAATGTGAAAATTCATCAATAGAAAAAATATCTAACTTCAACCAGGTTGCTAAAGGCCAAAATTGCTGTAAATTGCCAGTTCGGAAACACATTTTCTTGGTTGCTATAGCAACCGTTATTCCAAATAATCCTAAACTTTCAATACAGCTATGTGTTGACCCCAGGAAGGTACCCTGCTAGTTTCAGACACATATCTTTAATATTTTTAAAGTTATTAAGAAGGAGTTGAGACCCCCTCGAAAATAACCTCGGGGGGTATAAAACCTAGAAAAGCTATCCATAATGGTCGCTTTTTGGGCGTCAAAGTTCCAAATCCTTAAATCTAACATGTTTCCCGAGATAAATAATGTGGTTCAAATTTGCTCACTGACGGGCCCACCTTTGGCTACCATATGAGCCCCTAATTGCTTAACAGTCTATATTCTTATACAAGGGGTCATCCATATATACAGATAAAATGCTCTGATTTCTTTTTTGTCTTGAGTTACATAATTTGGTGAACAAATATTTATCTCAGGATTAAATAATAATCTTAGTAAAGAAAAGCTCAGTTGACTACTGTTATTTTTTAGATACATGTCTTTAAAGAACCTCTTAAACTCTATGTAAAATGCTGTATTATAAAGTTCCCCAACAATTTCTGTTTTGTATGCCGCATATTTATGTCTCAAATAGGTATTATGTTCAAGTAAATTACTGTTTGTATATTTTCTCTTTTCAGAACGATTAATTAAGTCCTACTTTTTAATAACCCGGAAAAATATCCAGGACACCGTTCCAAAAGCAATAATGTGTTTCTTAGTGAATTTTATCAAAGACAATCTTCAAAGTGAACTTGTCAGTGCTCTATACAAGAAAGAAGAAATAGCTAAATTATTAGATGAATCAGAACACATTGCAACTAGGAGGAAGGAGGCGCAAGAAATGCTTAAGGTAGGCGAGGGTCATCTTGGCCAATCTTGCAACAATCTCCTTGTAAAGATAGTAAAATCTGTATGTCTGAACAACTTTATCCAAACATGTCTCAATTAAAACACTTCCAATTTTGTTATTAGCTCTCGTTTGCTCACATATTAAGAAACCTTGAAATGTGAATACCTGCTGACAGCTTCCACTATACATTGTTATAAAGCATTTATACTGCTGGAAATTCAATTTTAAAATCTGAGATTATTAAAGTAATGATTTTTGGAAATAAAAGTGTGATAGCTTTATTGTCATGTTATCTGGGTTAACCAAGTCAAAAGAATTCTCATCTAAATACTTAGTATGTCAGTGTTTCAACTGATTATTTTTATTGAATGAATACATGATAATGTTGATTTTTTATGTTTCAGGCCTTGCAGTTAGCCAGTCAAATAATTGGTGAGATTAGAGAGACACATTTATGGTAGGATGGAACTGTAGATAATTGCCACATTTATGATAGGATGAAACTATAGATTATTGACACATTTTTGGTAGTATGGAGCTGTAGACTAAATGGACACAGTGTACATATGTGATGATAAGTTCCCAAAGCTCCAGTGTGACCTTCTGGTGTTAAAGTGACACATTAGTTCTCTGTTGGTTCAAACAGAGACATCAAACAGATTTTCAGGTTTCAAGAGAGCTCCATGATGTAATGACACTTCATATATAGAGACATGTCTTAGATCTAAGTTAGGCACATCCTAACAATAGACTCTTCTAAGGAAAATATGTAAAATCAAAGAATTAGTGTACTTGTACTTTACTTGTAAAGAGAGTCTAAGGATATGTTAGACATTTCTTTTATAAACGGACACTTCTCCTTGTTAAGTGGCAATAACACTGGTCAGTATCGGGAGAAGATAACGGTTATACTATTCAATGTTTTCATTGAATCAAACCACTTTGCTATGAACATTTTGCTTTGACATTTCTTCAAGACCAACTTGTTTGACAAAGAAACTAAACAATATGATCAATTGTTTCTATATTATGTGTGGATGCCATTATCCAACAATATGTTCTATTGCTCCATAGGGTGCAGCCACATGAATTCTTTGTTCACCATCATGATATTCATACAACCCTCCCCTCCCAAAGTCACAAGTGATAGAAAATATGATTGGACCATGGCTAATAGACATATTGTATGATAATATGGTTGAACTTTCAATGCCGAATATCCACGGCAAAGCAGTTTGATTGGACAAAAACGGAAGCTATCAAAATCGACACATACTGTCTGCCATTTTGAAAGAGAAGGTAACAGCTGTTACTTTCTCTTGGTACTGACCAGTGAGTATGTACTCCACTTTATTCAAACTGACTAGTGTCATAGTGCAATGGAAGTCCAAGGGGAATGTTGTTGTTGAGAGATGTAATCATGAAGAAAATATTTTGATACATAAAATTGAGAATTGCATAAACTACGGCATTGAATGGTTGTAAATAAAATTCTTTGTTATTTTCTGACTAACATTTTGCATCTGTAAAATTCTTCAACCAGTTAATGTTCAAGTTAATAACTTCACAGGGAATTAACAGCAACCCAGTTCGACAATTATGCATCAGTCATTAAAATAATGAATTAAATTGAAGTAAGAGCATCTACAAAAGCTCAGATAAGCATTTTCCATGTTTAATTAAATTATTCAGTTAAGAAACGTAATTAGAAGCGGATCGGAGCAACCTGATGAAATTAAAGCAGGTTTTAATCAGGTTTTGGAACCCAATAGAATCTTATTATTCCAGATTGTATGTTTTTGTACTTTAGTGTATTGCATGTCAAATTCCATGTGAAAAAATCAAATGTCATAAATGATGTTCAGTCTCAATATAATTGATACATGTAACATTCTATTTCTAATGTAATAATATTTATAAAATTCATTGTGTGTTTGTTTACATTTATTGCAGTGAGTGTTTGTTTACATTTATTGCAAAGTGAGTGTTTGTTTACATTTATTGCAAAGTGAAAAAGATGAGAATTGATTTCATTGTTTTCTTCTATCATAGATCTCATTATTATATCTTTTATTGACAATTTATATCAGCTACATGATACATTAGTCACACATAATTAGTATGGAGGATCAACAATCCTCACATGTGCATATATAAAGTGTAATTACAATTCATAGTTCTCCATCATATCAAATGCCATCACTGCCTTTATCATAATTCATTTTTTCTCATTGTATGGCAAATATGTTTTGTTTAAACAATTCTAACAATATTATATATCCTGGATAATGCAACTGTGGGGCATTTTTGAAACCTCAAATTGTTAGATAATCTCAGTCTGTTGAAACGTTTCTAGTGGACATTAGCTAGAGACAGACATGAATACATACTGGGTAATCATGTTTGATGTTCACGTTTTATTATGTCCCCGCCACATAGTGTGGGGCCATATTGTCGGACTAGGCGCGTCCGTCTGTCTGTCCGTCCGTGCAATGTACGTCCGGCAGTTTTCTCCAAAACTGCTACAGATATAACCTTCAAATTTTCAGGGATAACTTATGAGTGCATATAGATGTGGATGAAAAAAATTTAGCTTGATACCTACTTCCTGTCGGCCATTTTGAAGTTGAATGCTAAAATCCTTGTCTGCAAACTTTAAGAAAAACGGCTTCACGGTTGCTTTTAAAACTTTAAAATCTTGTTCAGCTTACTTCGTTCTACAACTGATCAGGTTTTGGACCTGTTAGCTCAGTCATGTCAGCCATTTTGAATGTCTTAGGAAAACTTAGCGCGCGATAATACTTTGTATTTAGTAGCTGTATAAATAATTTCAGGTGTACTTTGCTGTAAAAGCCTATGTTATTGTTAACAATACTGTAGTTATATGTGATAATTTTGTAAAAAGAAATCAGCAAAAACTAATAATCACTTTTTTATTGTCGGCCATTTTGGATTTTTCCATTCTAAAATCTTGTGTCAAGTCTTGTGTACACGTTTTCAGGTGGGGACATATTGTACACATTTGTGTTCTTGTTGTTCTTAATATTAATGTATGCAAATGATTTTATGACATACCAGAAAATTTTGAGCATGCTCTACGTTCTGGTTGACCTACTCGTTCGGGTAGTATGATAAAGTTTGTAGACCGACCCATAACGGTTCTTAGTACGTCAAATCCGTTCGTGCACAGTTTTTGAGTTTTCGAGAACGTAGTGAGAACGTGTATTTATTGAATTCAGGTTCTCAGTAGTTCCCTCGCGGTGCCAAAGTCAATGCTGCGCGCCTACCGAGTGACGCAGTTTGTGTCGATCACAAACTATGTGCCTAACAACATTATATCATTAAAGTTGGAGTCTGGATTTTGAAACGTAATTCTAAGACATTTATCCTGCATTGTTTTCTTGTTTAATGCGTTCATTCTGTGGCGAATATACGAATCTTGCAAATACTAGCAGAAACTATGTACAACTGGATCTAAGTTTTAAGATAGTCGAATCTGCTTGCGATGTGTATTATTTTATTAGGAAACAACTTACGTGTAGGATTACATTTTGGAGGAAATGAAAATTGTAACTAACAGAATACGTCACAATACTAGTGGACAGATTTGGATCAAATTGTATATGCTAATGCCCAGGGGCACCAGTGGACGGATTTTCTTCAAATTTTATATGCTAATGCCCAGTGAGCAGACTGCAGTGAGACCAGTGGACGGATTTTATTCAAATTTTATATGCTGATGCCTACAGATGCAAAATTTATATGACTATCAAAATATATTTTGTCCGGTGGGATTTGCTACTCCGTAGAGTTGCTGTTTTTCTAGTTAAGATTTGTTTGGGTTACCTTTTTGGCCCACCCTATACTTCCAGTAATATAAGAGTTGTAAGAGCCCAAAAGAAGATTAAAGATGAGATATAAACATTTCGCCTGGTTCACTGGGGGGTATCGTGATGCAACAACATCGTGTTGTTGCATCAAGATGGCCAGACTTCCGGTGATAGATTTTCGTACGATATTTTGTTTTCCCAATTTAAACCCATTTCTAGGACGAGTTGCTCAATAATCATACACGTGCAGTTAGCCCATGATCTATATTTAAAAAAACTCTCATTAGTATGCATGTAGCATCATCAAGAAGCGAGAAATTCGCCGTTTTAATTCCTCACTATTGATGCAACAACACCACTCTGTTTATCATCGATGATGCAACAACACCAATGTGCTGATGCAAAAACGCCAATATAATGTATCATTGAATATCAAGCGAAACTGTTTCACGTTCTGTTTATCTCGTAGGTGTTGGTCGGGACATGAATAAAACGCGTGAGTGCGTGGTTCATGAATGAAACGTATTTTGTTTGGTTCCTTAATGTATTTGTCTTTATGTTATCAAAGTTAAAAGGATATACAAGGTAAACTAAATACATAGGCTAAGTATTGAATCCCCGGGAGCCAACCTCATTGATATTGTATCTGAAAAATAAAGATTATTCATTTTCTAAATTAAATCCCCTTGATTTACCGTATCGTATGGAAATTGTTTACAAAGAACTAATATAACTAGACTTTGGAAATTGAACAAGTTCAATTTCAGACTCCAGATTTGGACTATTTTAAGCCGAGTCATCCAGAAAAAGATGGATGGATGGATGAAATAGGAAGGAGGGATAGGACAGAATAGGATGGAACGATAAGAGAGAATAGAGAAGAAAGATAGGATAGAATAGCAAGGAAGGATAAGATAGAAAGGATAGGAAGGAAAGGATATGAAGGAATGGAAGGAAAGGATAGGAAGGATAGATAGATAGGAAGGAAAGGATATGAAGGATAGATAGGAAGGAACGGATAGGGATAAAAGGGATAGGATAGGAAGAATAGGATAGAATAAGAAGGAACAATAGGATAGAATAGTAGGATAGGATAGGATAGGATAGGAAGAATGGATGGATTTTTCGACATTTTCTTGGCTAACCTTGACTTTCTATCAGGATACCATCAGATCGATTTTTCTCGAAATTTCAAAACGCCATAATTTCCGAACCGGAAGTCGGATCGAAATTTGGTTTGCAGATTCTGATTCCTGAGAAAATTCTATTCTTCATTCATAACTAAAACGTTAAATTTGGTGAATTTTTTATTTTGACCTACTTTTTGGACACCATATCTCAAAAGTGGGTTAAAATACTTTCTGACGGCAAAGGGCTAACACTATGAGTACACTCTTGGCTACATGTATACACAATTTCGAAGAATATAATTGAAGTGTAGTGTCAGAATCACAAAAATAAGGAAAATTTTTGAATTTGACCTAGATTTTGACCTAGACATTTTTGTGTCCAAATTTTGAAGCTAGATTGCTTTTGAGATATCCTTCATTTAAAGGCTTTCATTAAATTAAGCTGTACTCGGTCGTATATATGTCGTATTTTACACTTCAAAAAAATATTTTTTCCCTTTGACTTAACATGGGGCACCAAATTTAGCGATTTTGAGTTTTCAAAACGCCATAATTTCCGATGAGTGTAGGTTTAATGATATTGCAGTTATACAATGCTATTATATAGAGGTTATTTACTGAGAGGGATTCAATATTGGTTTTATTCCGGGACACATTATGATATTTCCCGAGGGCCCAGGGGGAATCTGGGATTACTATACTGTACCCCTATTAATTTACCTTTTCGGGACCTAAATCCTATTACCTACCTTTTTACTCAATCGGGGAGAACGAATCCAAAGAGAACAATACTTCTACATGTGCGCCGTGCAAGATTTCCAATAGCTCGTCGTGTTTACCGAGAACGAAAGATGTTTGCCCACCATTTTGAATGATACTAACTGGTATCAGGGTCATCAAACAATGGAACAGGGGTTTATGATAATAGATTGGGTTACTATAGCTTGCAATGTTAAAGGCGATTGAACTATGTTATAAAACAACTTCCAGTACATTATGATATTTAAAAGTATAATTTTTTGAAAATACATATAAAGAATTATCGCCCGCAGGACGTGTATTTTGAATGCCTGAGAAGAACGCAAATGGGTACTGGCCCGGTGTTGCAATAGAAGCATTTAAAAATCTGTTCCTCTCGAGATTTATGGTCTTCTGAAATTATACTATTAATTGGTGTTGTTGCATCATTGCTCAAATCTAGAGGAGTGTTGTTGCATCTTCGGTTTGGTGTTGTTGCATCAATAGTGAGGAACTAAAACCGTGAACTTCTTGCTTCTTGATGATGCTACATGTATACTAATGACAGTTTCTTTAAATATAGATCGTGCGCTAACTTCATGTGTATGGTTATTGAGAAACTCGTCCTAGAAATGGGTTTAAATTGGGGAAACAACATATCGTACGAAAATCTATCACCGGAAGTCTGGCCATCTTGATGCAACAACACGGTGTTGTTGCATCACGATACCCCCCAGTGTGGTTGGTGTGAAGAAATATGTCTGGCATAGTGCGTAAATACGATCAAATGGGTAGCAAAACTAAACAACACATTGTTATGTCATCTTACAATGTGAATTTTTTAAATACAAAGTTGAACAATGAATATTCATGCAGTCAGGTGATTTGAAATGTCAATTTGCCACAATGTGAAGGCAATATAGTTTTTCATCTTTGTGTTGAATTACTTTTGTCTGTTTCAGATGATCAATCAAATTTTGAAGTTTTCTGTATCATATCTGCTCGTCAGTTGTTGTGTAGCTCAGTTGTACATGTCATTTGATTCAGCTGTTTTGGTACAGCTTTTATGGTACAGCTTTTATGGTACAGTTTTGTGGTACATGTTATTCTTTACATTCCGGGATTGACGCAAGTTCCATCGAGGATATCTGGGCGAAATCTTCTAACCAATGCCATCACATCAGCGTCTGTCAGTGTGTCGTCAAATGATTTCCCAATTGGGATCTACAAAATAAATGAACAATAAATATGTGAGAACACACATCCGGAGCGGTGAATTTGAAAATACATTAAACACCACCTTTGTTCGACCTTTCCAAAGAATGCCCCATAGAACACATTACATTAGTCTTATTTGGAGATAAACCATTGAAATATAGAAATTATAAAATTACAGGCTATGTTTAGATCGAAATGGGTTTTCCAGATCCATTCACTTACATGCTACTATCTATTATATAGTGATGTCATATATGACTATACTTTTTTAGTTTCCTATATGTAAGACCAAAATAGTCTAAAACGTATTTTTGTTTTAAATCTCAGTTTGACCCTTTAAGTAAAAATAAGTCTTACGATAGATGCGCCATTCACTGTGCGTGATAGGACTGGTAAGATTTCGAAAATCCCCACTCCAGGGATGAATTATGTCAAAATCCCACACCCCCTACCTAGGATAATACTACGTGTCAAATTAAATCCCGACCTCCCGTATTCTACATCACCCCGCAAACCTCTGAATGGTGCTATTGAGAAATGAAACCTACCATCATTTGACTTGCATATTCTGCTGGGACACATCCAAAGTTTATCAAGAGCTCTTTCATCTTTCCAACTGCTGTCACTCTTTTCTTTATGTCAGGATTGTTTTCTAGAAGTCCCATTGCATCAGCCAATATCTTTCGTATTGACGAGATGTATTGCTTAAGAGTTTCTTGTTTTGCTACTATGTTATCAACGTTAACTGTTGCTGCGGTGATCACCTAGGAAACATTGATGCGTTTTCTTGAAAGGCTTTTCACAGAAGCCTTTTACAAGTTATCAAATCGACTTCAGAATATTATATTTTAAATTGTGTGTAATTTCTTTTCATGAAAACATTGTAAGTGATCTCTTGCTCAAAAACATTATCATCAAGAAAATTACACATTATCGTAAAGTTAATCTAACTGTTGGATTACTGACAACCTAAAGGGATGATCAACTGTTGAAAAGGAACTCGAAGAACCCATATTGTAAATTATGATAAAGCATATTCCTTGAAATCGTATCATTTGACACAAACGTTTTCAATTTCCAAACTTAAACGTCATCGTCGAATCTGACAAAAACAATGACCTGAAATCAAATACCCGACGAATCGCACTTACCTCGGTGATCTGTGGTGGGTTAGCGATGTTGACACTGGGTAATCTTGCCACCTCTAGAAACTCACGGCTATACGCACTGCCAACCTGACCAAGTGAAATGAATTTCTCTTTTACACTGGCAAACTCTTGATCAACTGTTTCCTTGCTAGCACTCTGGCTGTTAATTGCAGTGTTGAGCTGTGGAAGCAGAGCAACCATGTCGTCCCGAGCTGTGCGGAGAGCATCACGAGCGGTTTTCAGTTCGTTGCGTTTTGCTTTAGCACCGGATACGTCGAAGTATATAGATACCCCTAGCAGCACTCCACCAGCGAGAGCACCTCCCACTTTGCCAAACTTTGACCATTTCGCCGATTTAAAGAATGTACCCACTTTACCAGTGGACTTTCGTCCTGAAATATAAATCGGATGTGAACAAGACCAAACGTCAATATGCTCACTTTATGACAACGTTACCTCAGAATAATATGTAAGACCATATTAACCAAATACAGCAACTCCATGGAGTAGCAAATCCCACCGAACAAAACATGTTTGATAAATAGCAGCCATCTTGAAAATCTCTTTGTGAACAGAGCTCCCCTGTCCCTAGATATAAGCATATGAAATTAGAACCAAATCTGACCACTGGTATTTGAGTAATTGAAGATTGTTTTTTTTAAAATAAATATTGGTCATTTTAGCTGCTATCTTGAAGAGAGTTCCTTTATCTTTAGGCATCAGTCTATAAAATTTGAAACCAAAATCAGCCCACTGGTATTTGATCATCAAAGATTATGATTTTCTACAAAAAATGGCCGCCATTTTGAAATAAAGTGGCCTTCTTGAAAATGTCTCCTTGAGCAGAGCTCCTTTCTCCATGGGCTTCAGCATATAATATTTCAACCAAATCTGTCAACTGGCATTTGAGTTATCAAAGATTACGTTATTTTAAGAAAAATTGGCGGCCATTTTGAAATTGAGCCGCCATGTTGAAATGTCTTCTGAACAAAGCTCATTTGTCCCTAGGTATCAGCATATGAAAGGAGCGGTATCGATATGGAGAACTGAATTCAACAATGTTTTTCTCTTAAACCAATCATTTAAAACATTCTGTAAAAACACGGTATTTTATGTAATGTAGACTGATTGACAACAATTTATTGCGAAAATTATTTAGATACACTTTATATAACTCTTTTTGTTAACATTTTTTGTTTTTTTTAGTGCAATTTGCTCCTTCTACCAATTCTTGAGAATGAAATAAAATGTCTTTCCGAACCTTGTTGGAACAAAATAGCATATACAACATGTTTTAGACCTCTCAATATTATAGTTATACAAATGAATTCTTGGTTGATTTAAAAAAAAGTATTCAAAAAATCCCCTCAAAATAGATGATAAAAATCAAGATAAACTTCTTATTTCATTTACAAGATACTTTTTTAAAATCAACCAAAAGAACAGGTCCATTTAACAGACTATTGGTCAACTTAGACTTTTTCCAAAAAACTCATTCTTCCATTTACTTTCAAAACCGATTGCAAGTTGTAGATAAACCTTTTTTCTTGAGGTGTGCAATTTCAAAATTTCAGTTTCTTTGAAAAATTGGCAGTAAGAACCCCTATCACAAGGCTGTCTGAATATGGGTACACCCTATGTTTACCATCAAAATAATATCAAAACTTATCATAACATAGATTTTATTATATGGAACATATGGCATACAAGCATTCTGAGTACAACATTTAAAAAAATCTAGCTATGTATGAAGTTTACCAATGCAAATCTGGAAAACATTGCCATTTTTGTTCACTTTGTTATCAAGTTTTATCATGGTGCTCATTTCCTTTCGTTGAAAATTTAACTATCAGCCCATTCTCCCACAAAAAAGATATTGAAACTGTAGAATTCAGAGACTGTAAAGTAGCTTCTCTGCAAATATCATTGTTGTGGGAGTGTGGGCTCACCACTAAAACTTAACTTTTGTGATGAAAATAAGGCTGACTGGTTTATGTTTTCAATATGGCTACTAACCTGGTCATACATGTACACTACATAATTGCATGTACAGATTAGGCCATTCAAAATTAATTATATGTTGGCATTCTGATGAAGGGCCTTATTTTATAAACTACAAAACCTTTATTTATTTAAAGGGTTTTATATTATTTAATAGTGAAAATGCAACAACACTTAGTGGAAAAGCAAGTAACACCTCTTGATTCAGATGACTTTGTGAATGAAGACAATACTAAAGCTTATATACATGTAGTTTTAATCAATCTCGGAACTCATTTCAATACAATATAATTCATGATCACAATTCCCTCTGTCATTTATATGCATTACAAATTTACAAGTATATAGTACATGGGAACATTTTGTTTTTTCTGAAAACATAGAATTTAGTGACATTAATTATAATTTTTTTTGAATGGCCTAAGTGTTTTTCTAAATAGGGAATAAGTAAAAATTATTTTAGGCAATCTTTTGAGTGTCATGCCATTTATACATAATGCTGCCTTATATTTTATGATATATATTGAAATTCAAATATGGGAACTGCAAATAACTTTAAAACTAAGTCTCCATACAGACATTTAATTTCAAATTCCAATGTAGATGCCAATGGGCATATACATTGGAAATGCCCATGTCATGGGCATTTAAAATAATAATCACATCCCAATTCTTAAAACATGCTTCTATTAGGATACTGTTAGAGTTGATAAAATAGCATCTTTCAAAGTTGACCTTTAAACCAACCTAATGTCAAGGTCAAATGTCTAAATTCTCAGAAATCACATTTTAAGTAATAAGTCATACTTCCTCTTCAATTCCATGTCACTATATACTTGTTTTGTAGGGGGGCTAAAAGAGGGGTTTACCGTCACCTGTCCTATTTATACAATTACAATATTGAGAGACCTCAACATGTTGTGTTTATGTCGTTTTGTTCCAATGAGGTTCGGAAAGATGTTTCATTTCACTCTGGAAACATGATACCAAGAACAAAACAAGTGTTTGATGTGTTTTCTAAAACAATATAGATGGAAGCATATATATATATTTCAAATTATATTGTTACCATTCAAAAGATCACCATTAAATTGACGATGTGTAAAATTTTTAGATTTTTTTAGTTTAGAGAAACGTGTGTTCAAAAAGTTCTCCATATCGATACCACTCATTTGAACGAAATCCATCTCCTGGCGTTTGAGTTATCAAAGATTACGCGCTTTTACGAAAAGCGGCTATTTTGAAATTTAGCAGCCATCTTGAAAATGTCTTCTTGAGCAAAACTCCTTTGTCCTTAGGCATCTGCATATCAAATTTGAACCCAATCAGTCAATTCGTATTTGAGTTATCAAAGATTACATGTTTACGAAAAATGGCGGCCATTTTGAATTGAGTGGCCATATTGAAAATTCTTTCTCGAGCAGAGGTTCTATGGCCTATAAAATTTGAATCAAATCCGACGACCGGTATTTGAGTTACCGCCCGGACAAACAGACGGATGTCGGATGGACGGACGGCTTTCCTATTTTCCCCTCGAACTTCTTTCGGTGGGATAAAAACGAAACAATACAATCACACGATGACATGGGCCTGAAAGTCATTCCTTTCAGTAACGTGTAGGTGCATATTACTTACCTAAACTGCTACTGCTAGTCATAGCTGTCTTTGAAGCAGGCTTTACAGATGTTTTAAAACCATTAGCAACGGTACGCATTAAGAAAGGCACCTCTACATTATTGAAGGTAGCCTTTTCCTGGGACTCTTGTTCTCTCAGTGATTTATCCAGACTTCCACCAAGCATAATAGCACCTGCAGCTGACTGGAGAACTCCAATTGTACTCGTCGTTAGGTCAATTCCTAAAACAGTGAACATACCAATTTGGACTAAGTTTCCGAATATTGGGAGTTTTATATATATCATATCATTGTCTGGAATACTGGTGATATATTCTGGGTGATTTGTGTGCTGAATAGAGAGGACAAGCAGGTGGCGATGGTGTGTTGTTCTCTTTATATATCTGAGTTTGGTAGCTTTTGGCCTTTAGCCAGACGGACGACACTTGAACCTACTTAAGTTATCTATACCAGAGACTCTCAGTTTGTACTTACCATCCGTTAATCGAGAAATAGAGATTGAATATTTTTCTAATGCTTGAAAAATTGTAGCGAGTTCGGTGTTCTTATTATTAGCTTCATTGGTAGCAGTCCATAGCTTTGCATTGTATTCATTCAGTCCATTGAGCGTCTCATTCTTCTCATCCACACTGGGCTTCTTTTGTGTAACCTTGGATAAATAAGAAAAATACATAGAGAGGCTCAAACTGCACTTGAAAACAAAGGCTTATTTTGGATTATTATTGGAAAGACATGCAATGAAGTTGTGACTCCTTGTGATTTAGAGTTTCACGACTAGCAAGTTTGATGCCATTATGCTAAAAAAGATCACGACGGAAAAGCATCAAATACAAGATGTTCAAATATTTGTACTGAACGAATATACCTGCACTAAATGAAGTGTTTGATGTTGCCCTTTGTACTTTAACCCTAGAAGCCTAAGGATAAAAAGTCACACGAACACCTAAGGGGGAGGGGGGGGGTCAAAAGGGCACCCCCTTATAAATGTTTTATTAGTAGAGCTAGGATGTTCAACCTTTCCCCAAATATACTTCATTCTACAACTTGGTGTAGTAATTCTAACAACTATGATGATGTATGATTGCGTAATTTTATTCTAAAGACCACACACCACATGATAGAATTAGTGCTAGCTTTTTCCCGATTTTGTCTATTGAAGCTAATGATTACATCATAATAAATTTAAATCAAATTAGTAAAGCTAGGATGTTCAAACTTTCCCAAAATATACTTCATTGAATTATCTACAACTTGGTATAATAACTTTAACAACTTTGATGATGTAAGATAGTATAATTTTATTCTAAAGATAACACGTATGGTAGAATTAGTGCTAGCTTTCTCCGATTTTGTTTATTAGAGCTGACGATTACATCATAATAAATCAATTGCCCTATGTACAATTTCCTGATATTTTCAGAAAAGATTTGTTATATCTGTAACTACTGAAAATTTGAAGATCCTACTAGATGCCAATAAAAAGTTATGGGGAAAAAACTTATCAAGGGGGGTCATTTGACCCCCCCCCTCCCTTAGGGCTTCTAGGTTAACTACAGCCCATTTCACTGTTTTATTGCATCAGTAGAACCCAAAAATAAGAAATCGGGAGACCATTGTGCAATAATATATAGAAAAGTATATTCATATTTTACACGAATAACAATTACATAAGCCTGTGCCCTTTTGTAATTTAAAGAATTTCAGTCATGTATATCTTATTGAAAATAACATAGCAGAGAAGCATCCAAATATAAGAGGCCACACACCTTATAAGCCAAACTAGAAGCAATCCAAGATATACAAATGTCATTTATGTACAAATGGAATATACTTTCCCATATGTCATTGCACAATGATCTTTTGATTTCTTTTTTTTGGGGTTTTACTGACGCAATAAAATGAAATGAAATGGACTGTACATTACCCGGGTATTACCTCACTGTGGAGTTCCTTGCACTCATCTCTCAGGGTACATATAGATGGGTAATACATGCAACCTCCTGTGGCCTGGTTTACGGCTCCTAGCCCAATGGCGGCTATTGACATCACGCCATTTATGGCGCCGATACGCCCAGCCTCTGGAAGAAAGGCGTTTTTATAGAATCAGGATGATACTTTGGTGTTTGAAGTTGGAACCTCTTATTACTGTGCCGGCTCCCTTTGCTGAACCAACGTTATGCCCCCTGCCATTTATTCATTACATTGTATGTAATGAACAAATGAAAGAAGACGGTGTAAAGCTGTCACTATTTCTCGGTTGAAATAATTGGTATATGCACAGGATAAATGTAATTCATCTTCCAGGATAACACATATTTAATGCACTTACCCGAATGATGATAATCTAGGAGAAGACACAATGCCAAAAATGTGTAATATTTCCTAGACATTCCCATAGTTGGTCGTTGGATCCTTACTGCGTGTGTGTATTTTACCCAGGAGTTTAGCCAACTGTGTCCGTTTTATGTTTATATATAGTGCTAATACCACTCAACGAATTACTGAGTTTATTTCAGTGCTACAGGCTCATTCATTGTAGAAATAAGTTTCAACCGCGAACCATGTTGTGGTAGCACATGAGTGAGTCTTACGTTCACAGAGTTAACAAAGCGTGTTCAAAATGTATAAACATTCAAATATCTATACCACCCTAGGTATACGCAGCTAACGAAAATTGACCGGTACGGGTCAAAAGCTGGACCGGTACGGGTTAACGGTTTTATTTGAATTTAAAATAGCTATAACTTGCTCAATATTGACTTCCTCGTGTCTAATTTGAAATATATGATGCCTCCCGATGCTTTTAAGTACACCAATTTTTTTACAGATTTTTAAACGGACCAAAACTCTCTAAATGCGCATTTATGCTCTTTTCTCTCGAGAACGACTGTCTCATTTTCACGATAACTTTTATTTAGTACTTCTAACATATAAGATCTATTTTTCCCCATCAAGGTATGATGTAAATGACATGCTATTTACATCTTGTGAGTTTCAATGACGCGCGTTTGATTTTATAAAAAATGCCAAACTTTGTGACAAAGAATTTCATCCTGCTTGCAGCGAGAAGACGGACCGGTTCGGGGCAATCTCCTTGCAGCGAGAAGACGGACCCGTACCGGTCAATTTTCGTTAGCTGCGAATACCAAGGGTGTATACGCACGACGCGCAAAAATAGAGAGGTGAGCTTGCGAGGTTTTTCACAACAGAGCCGTGAACACAGAGCCAATGAATTAATACAGTAATGTATCGGGTGTCCCAAAAAATGAGACACTTTTTGACAAGTAAATTCTCAGCAAAAGTTAAACCAAATTTACTGAATATTCGTACAAAGTAGCCCATGAGTATTGTTACCAAAGTACAAAAATATGAAAAAGATCAGGTAAATGTAATGTGAGCACGAAGAAATTCAAGATAGCATGTCAAAAGATCCCGTACCGGAGCAACGCAACGAGAACTTCGTAACGTTTGTTCCAAAATATGGGAAGCAGTTTGACAAGTATTTTTTCAGCAAAAAATGAGCCAAATTCTTTGAAAACTACTTGAGGCATTAGGCATTAAGCAATCAAATGACTATATTGCAACAGTATAAAAATAGAAACATATGTACTTATCTTACCTTTTGTAGGCGAGAAGACATAATCTTGATAAACGTCATTATATATTCAAAATTCAGTCAAAAATGGTGTCATATTTGGAATCTACATCTAGAAATGTGGTTTTGAAAAGAGTTTATCAACTTTGAAAATTTCATTTCCCCATAGACCCCACTTTGTAAAATCACAAAAAGTGAAATATCTTTTCTTTTGTTGGGCAGATAACATTTTCTTTTACTGGACATATTTCAATTTGTATAACTATCATATACATAGGGTAATATAAAAAGTGAACCACTAAAGCTGATGATTATTCAAGTTGAAGGGAACTTGGTAATATCCTGCCATGTTATTACCCCCAAATTAGCCACCTGGTGGCGAAATTGGTAACTACCTACTTGCATCTGAGTAACTGAGCTTGTCTAATCATGTCTTGACAAAGCGTTTACGCTAATTTCATTAGGCCAACTTATAATCCTCAAAAGTTACATAAATATGCAACAATTTATATCTGTTGTTTTCTATAAGATAATCATTTGTAAGAAAGATGTCTCTTTACCATGGACGTATATTATCAGTCTAACAAAATTATTTCCCATGTTTTGGATTGTTGAGATCGTGCGTCACCAACATTTTTTCCAATTTCCACACTCATATCGTTCCATCAGACTGTTCCATCGACTGAAGTTCTAAATTAGGAACGGAAGGAAATGAGATTTTAGTATGCAAACAGAAAAGTGACCAAAATCAAAAATCCACATGATGAAAGGATTGGTATCGATATGGAGAACTTTTTTTCTTAAACCAGCCATCAAAACATTCTGAAAAGTTTACACATCGTCAATTTAATGATCATCTTTTGAATGGTAACAATATAATTTGAAAAATATTTATATACTTTTCTCTATATTCTTTTAAAAACACATCAGAAACTTCTTTTGTTCTTGGTATCATATGTTCGGAATGAAATGAAACATCTATGCGAACCTCATTGGAACAAAACGACATAAACACAGTCGTGTTTAGGTCTCTCAATATTGTAATTGTACAAAGGAAACTATGGTTGATTTAAAAAAAGTATCTTGTTAATGATTTCCTTTGTATAACTATAATAGTGAGGTCCAAGAAAATGTTGTATACGCTATTTTGTTCTAACAAGGTTCGGAAAGATATTTTATTTCATTATCAAGAATTGGAATAAAGGAACAAAAAACAATTGCACTAAAATGAAAAATGTTAAACAAAAACAGTTATATAAAATATAAATGATTAAATTGTTGTCAATCAGTCAACATTACATAAAGGACTGTGTTTTTTACAGAATGTTTTCAATAATTAGTTTTGGAAAAAACATTGTTGAATTCAGTTCACCATATCGATACCTATCCTTTAAGATCGGAAAAACGAACAAACAAAATATTAATTATCCATTATTTCATACTTAAGAGAAAGAAATTCATTGATCAGCCAATAAATCATCCATCTACTCTCGTTTCAACTAAAGAGAATTTTACAAATATGGTACCAACCCGTTCAAAATGTTTTCCGACGGGCCGTAGGAGAAAAGAAATATAGAAGCCAACTAGAAACGAACAAACCAATCAAATGAATGTTTTGCATAATGAGAGAATCATAGATACACCGCCTCCATAAAGTTTGGCAATCAGGTATTTCATTTTAAAGCGTTTATAAAGTGCGCGTATATTTTAATTGTACCTTTGTTTCTTTGGCTCATAAGACTGGATGAGAAATTTATGAATCTGTTATATCGCTAAACATATATTTTATGGTATTATATGGTCCGATAATGGACATCAGGTTTCCAACATTTTGGAGGGGAGTGTAAGATTTAGTCAACTAGTCTCTCAATGAAGCACCATACACTCTTGATTTGCACCATCATCAATTTGACTTCATATTAATCATAGTGATAGAAAACGTGTGTTGTTACTGCTGCTCGATTGACCAATTCATGTTAATTCTATGAAATATTTCCATAAACTGGCGATATTTTCATTAACAGAGTGGGTTTTAATTAAGGCATCGCGAGAAAACTGTCATCAATTGTTGAGATATTATGGTGGATTCATAAATAAACTATAAGACATGGTAAAATTATAACAGAGGCAAACCAAACAAAAGTATGGTTCGCTACGCTCACGCACCTACTATTACAACGTGTCGTAATAAAACGCGCATGTCAAACATTGCAAAATGGTTGGAATATTTATGATTGAATTGATGGGTGGTAAAGTAAAAGTGAAATTAACATTCAACATTGTTTCTCATTGCAATGGTTAAAACGAATTGAAACATCGATTATCATTATTACACGGACGGACGGACTCGTTCTCTACCCCCCCCCCCCAACTTCATTCGATGACACAAACATTCCAGTCTTGTTATTTTATCTTGATGGTTTGTGGAATCAAATAGTCAGATTAAAAAGAAAACCCAGGATAATAGCTTGTGTGTTTCCAGAGTAAATCGTTCAAATACGTGTGCTAAAATGAAATACAATACGACTTTATTGCTTTTTATAATCCCCTATTTTTACTCTTCGTAATACCCCTCAAAATTCTATACTAAGGTGCTGTATTTGATCAGAATAGAGTTTAAGTAATCCTCTTCCCAGACGCGTGGCTTTGTCTTGCTCACGTCATCATTGCTTTCAAGGTACCACAGTTTCATTTTTCTAATCAGCTGATACGCAGGCCAGCTGCGCGCTACACTAAATAAGAAAATTTAATTTTCAAATCACGCTTGAATTTCCCGGGGAATCGTCTAACGAGACTCCGCGAGATTTCTCGAGAGAGCTCTCTCTTTTGGAGGCATGACCCACCCCATACAAGGAACTAATGTCGTGCCATTTTAGTTTCAAAAACGAGTCTTTTCTCGACATTTTGGTGTATAGAACATTATTTTTCTTCGACGGGAAATAAGTTTTTAGAAGGCTCAAAGAAGGCTGGTACGTTTTGAGTGATAGATTTAGGGTAAGTCTGCAAAAGCGTATCACAACCGGGCCATTAAAGATTGGGGCTGAATTTTGACTTGATTTTCTTCAAAATAAATCGTATTTTTTGTAATTTAAAACAGAATTAATGTTCCCCCGGTCAATGTAGCGATATTTAACAAATAATCGGAGGTAACCCAACTTCCGGTTTCAGGAATTATCGAATATTTCTAGGAAATATATGAAAAATAATGATGAATTCCATCATAATTTTTTTTTATTTGTGTTTATTTTAGGTGTAACACTGTCTTGGGGCGATTAATGTTGACTTATAGCTGGTTACTGATATCGACTACATTTTGAAGGTAATTTTTTGTAAAATCTCATCAGTAGTAATGTGTGCACCCAGTGTAGACTCTTTGAATTGTATCAAGCCTTACCTGTATCATGTCACAGTTATTCATTTTTTAGACTCCAGATGAAAATCTGGAGTCTATTGCTTTCGTCAGTTTTCTTTATTATTAGACTCCAGATGAAAATCTGGAGTCTATTGCTTTCGTCAGTTTTCTTTATTATTATTAGACTCCAGATGAAAATCTGGAGTCTATTGCTTTCGTCAGTTTTCTTTATTATTATTATTAGACTCCAGATGAAAATCTGGAGTCTATTGCTTTTGCCAGTTTTCTTATTATTATTAGACTCCAGATGAAAATCTGGAGTCTATTGCTTTTGCCAGTTTTCTTTATTATTATTCTTTCAGAATCTTCCTCCTTCCCAGATTTCTCACCAACTAGAAGAGCTTACTTTAAGCTGCTTACATGATTAACTAGGGAATGTATCTGGGATGATGGGAAATTAGGTCAAATTTTTATCTAGGTCAAAGGTCAAGAACTAGGTCAAATCCAGTACTTTGTCACTTTTTCCCATTATCTCGGTCGTCCTTCAATATTTTTGATCCTGGTTTTTTTCATTGTGTTCCTCATAAAAAAGTAGAAAACCTAGGGTCGATTTAGTTTTTTGGTATCTCAAACCGATTTCGAGATATC